TGGACTGTAGCGTCAAAGGTAGAATGAAAGAGAAAACGAAAATGATAATGACACGTGGAACAATTCGAAATAAAACGCTTGTGTAATGATAAAACCAAACAAGTATAAGGTATTTTCAATGACATAACGAAATGTCATGATTAAGTTAATTTAACATATTTCACTTAAGTAATTTAATACCTTTCACTTAACTACTTTTAACATCTCTCACCTACTTTCCACTAAAACGTTCCTATATTCTAAGATACCTTCTAACGAAGCAAAGCATTTACATATTGGAATGCGATTTATTATATCGAGAGCGATGTTATAAGATTTACATTTGCCTTCTGCGCTACTGATTCTGTTTTATTTAAGACAAACACAGAGGCTAGATACACGGATTCCGAATTACTTAAATATTTGGAATGAAATTGCTGGAGTCATAGAAAATGGTGTCTATCTTTACATTCCACAATGAAAAAACAAGCGAATCAATTATTTTTAACTTCACATTCTCTACGTTTATTCATCCCCATTTTACATACATATTCCATATACTAGAAAATTAATAAAAATGTATATAAATATTAGGTTTGTAATATTCCTAACCGATTCATAATATTGGAAGATTTTCCTTGAGTTTATATCCAGAATTGCCGACGCAAATTAAGTTAAACAAACATCAAGAGAAGAACAAAAATTCCACTTCTATAAACTTGTATTAGTGGAGAAAATGGAGTAAAGATGAATCATCTTCAAGGTTGGCTCTCTGCTGCGTCGCAGTGAACGGTGGCTAAATTCAAGAATTTTTTTGTTTAACGTCATCCGCAATGAATAGAAGAGAAAATTCTGATAAAAAGTAATACTAACCATTTTTGAGAAACATATGTTCAAAAAGATAAAATAACACATATTTACACAAAACTGTACACAAGGAAGATACATTCTTTCCTTCGTTGGCTGTTGATGCTGCTTCCACTTACGAAGGTCACTCATTTGAAAACGTTTCCAAACATTATGCAAATAGGAGCCCTCTCCATGCAGAATCTTCAGTTTTTTCGTAAGTATAGTTTTAAGAATATCTTATATATTAATTAAAGTCACTAAATCGGTGTGTTCTGGATGCTACAACGTAATAAGCTATAAAATTAAATATGTATTGACTCGAACCACAAAGCAGTGTAATGTCTTTTAAATGAATTTAAAAGTTTATGCAAGTTCAAGACCAGTTATAGCAATAAAACTGATGTTACTCTTGCATAAAAATTATCATTTATTAAATGTTTTATGTAATCCCTCTTTGTCAACATGAGAGAAATTCAAGAAACGAATTTATCGATGTTATAATACAAAAGACATCTTTTTGAATTTCTTTTCTCAAACATTTCACAGGTGTATCTCAACAACCCTTCCGCATACCTCACATAAATAATGTTCAAACAATTTTTAATACATATACTATATCGTACGAACTTATATTCTTATATTATGCTTACATACGTTATCATAGTTATTTATCGTATATCTTAAGTCTTAAATCTTAAAACATCTGGAGTGAGCGAATGATACTGATTTGTGCATGATTTTGATGTTATAATTTGAATAAACGCAATGCTGAAATGAGACGCAGGGGAAACGGGAGAACCCAGAGAAAACCTGCTGCGCACCCGCTTTGTCCACCACAAACTCCATGTGGATCGACAAGGATTCGAAGTCAAGAGGTGAAAGACAAGCGGCTGACACCACGGTCGCTCTAAAACATAATAATTTGAATAGTGAGGTCAACAATTTTTCATTAAGTCTGTAAACTGAAATGGACAAATAATAGGTGCCAGCTTCCTTTCGAAAGTTGAAAGAGTTACACAAATTTCAGTGTGGAAGGATTACGAGTGGTAAAATTGTACTTGAGCTGGAAACTGCGAGTGGGATTATCCAAAAGCCAATTACTGGAACGTTGCTTGAGTAGTTGTCATCAGCTCTTCCAATTACCCATTTTCCAAAATGTATGCTATCATAAAATGCCCGAAAACTCTGGAGCGTATTTGCCTTCAAAAAGTGTCATTTTTTTAAGTATAGTATATGCATTTTATTTTTGTTTACTCTAAAATTGACGCGGATTTGTGAATGCAGTAATGCTTAGTCTACTCAAACTTCCTGTAATTTTAATACAGAGCTTGAAATACGTCTTGAAGAAACCGATTAAAAGAACGCTCTCAGAGAGCGCACAGCCAGGGCTGTTTTATCAGCTTTAGGGGCCTTTGGTCCTACGTTAACTTGGGGGGGGGGGACTAGTCTTACTTTAATCGATCTCCCCCCTCAATTTAAAGACATGTTTTGTTTTGTTTTTAAAAACTAAACTTCTAATCACTAAGTGACATTCTCACATCAACCAGCAGCGTTGTGTATTATAAATATTATACAATGATACGCGACACATCACTCTGTTTTGCCATTTTTTTTTTTTTTTTTTTGCGTATGGTTTGATCATACATCAATTAGGGAAAGCAATGTTAGGCAATGCTTAGATAAACGTTTAATTGCTATGATAATTGAAGAGTGGTAAGGGAACCCCATAATGTGGCAGTGTATTTAAAACTTTCCGCAGACGTATATTGGATATTTGTATGCATTACACTTTCAGTTGTGATTGAGTGTGAAATAACTTGGGTCTAAAACGGTAATAATAAAATAATAATAATAATAATAATAATAATAATAATAATAATAATAATAATAACAATAATAATATAGTTTAAATATAAAGCTGATTTAAAATACTAAATTATTATAAAGTTTGCAGATTTCAAAAGATACCGGCCTTGTAATCCTGCCATGTTTCTAAGTTACAGAAGTTTTCTTAATAACATTATCTTAGCGAAATATATATATACTACACTTTAGCAGCTCAATATTATATATCTTAATTTTACACTCGTTTTCACAATAATAGTGTACACAAATCAATTTAACACAAACAAATCAATTCAACCTAGAATAAATTTAGTTACTTGCCCATTTAGTATCAAATTGAATATATTCTAACAACTTTTCAAAATAAACTCAAAACTTGGGATTATGTGCTATGATTCAGAGAAAGAAAACAAGAAAAAAGGGATTTGTGGAATCTCGAAATTCACAACGGCCTATGCGTAAAGGGTAACAGCCAGACAACGAAGAAAGAGAAGGAGCGCAAAGATGAAAAGAAGTAAAAGATACCAAAAAAGGAGGAGAAGAAATAGAACAAGGAGGGGAAGGGGAAAATAAGAGGATTAAGAAGAACACACAGAATGTAAATTAATCTTGTTGAATATATTTTTCCATCTAATATTTAATGTGAAATTGTTTACATTCGTATGTACCAGAAAAAAAAATAGTATAACTGGAATGTTTACTCCCAAATTTAGTTCGAACACTTTTGAGAGACCACTAATCAAATATATCGAAGTTGTGATTGAAAATGTTACCACAAATGTGTTTTCTTTACGAAACAAAAATACATAATTCTTTGAAGTATATGCCATCTGTGGCAGCATATCCATCAATCAAAAATGAATACCTGAGCCAGTCGGGGCATTTCAGTTGGATATTAAAAGATTAAAATATATCCAATAGAAATTGTAAAGTTGATTATACTTCATGTTGTTTAACCTACACACGCGAAGAAAGTATAGTTGTTGGGTTGAAGTGCGAAGCACCTTCTCGCAATCACCAGTCAACGTTATGAGGCCCAGCAGTCTAATACATGATTGTGATAAATAAATGCCCGGGCAAAGCGGGGTCCTCTGGGTCGCTCTCAATAAAAAGGATTTTTTAAAGAAAGCAGACACGATGTTTCGCTAGTCGCTTCAGGGAAGTGTCAGAGCCCCGGAAAGTGCCGGTGCCGTGCATAAATAAGCAAAATTAACACAAGTTTAGGATTATCACCGAAGGAGGCCATAAAAAATTTTACAAAGAAAATTTTATACTCATTCATAAATATTTTTTCAATTTTCAATTTTTACGAATTGCAAACGTTAAGGTTATATTTTCAAATTAGAAAACACATATCCAATTTGTCAATTTTATTAGGGAGCCATAGTATGATAATTTGTAGGGGCCCTTAAGGACCGAACATCACGTATATGATAAGGAAATACTTAAGCTGTAAGATGTTTCTTTTGATAAAACGTGTTATGCACACTTAGTATTCATATACAAGACTTAACATACGTACGATGCTAGCAGCGTCTCCTGAGACAAATCGTCATCCATTTCTTTCAAATTATGACTATTTTCAAGGCACCAAGAGAGAATTCAGTAATTGCTAAATGTAATGGCTGAGCCATTCTAATAACCAGAGCTCGGATTCTGATGACATGTCATCTTTCCATTTATGCATTCTAGTCGTAGCTATCTTATACATCAATGTTTATTACGTGATGTAATAGACACGTGATAAACAAGAAAGGGTGAAAGAAATGTACAGTTATTGGGTCATCTTTTGCCTTTTTTTAATTTTTAGATTTTTTACCTTTGTGCCATTTTTGTCATTGTTACGCATATTGTTTCCTTTTCCTGTTTTTGTTAGTGAATGTTTCATGAATTTACAATACTAAAAGAAGATTTTATTGTATCAACAGTTCATGATAAAATTTACTACTGCAGTAGACCCCGTTTGCAAACCCTCAAAATTATACGAATCTTTAGTAACTTTCAAAACTGACGGTTGGAAGATTTAAGCTAGAGATTGCATTTCCTAAAATAAAGACCATATTTTAAATATAATTTTATACAAATAAATTTTTTAATAAGTTTTAAAAAATTGGGGCATATTCTCCTTATTTTTAAGTCATTTTATAGGTGATTGTCCTGTGATGTTTAAGTCATGTTAGAGGACATTTTTGAAGAATTTCGAGGGCATCCGAATCAGAGACCTGCTTTTAAATAAAGATAATTCCTTGAGTGCACGGATCAATTGCGACTACCAAAAAAGCGCCAAAAGGAACTCCTTAAGATTTTCCTTACTATAAACGACGACTATGAATACGGCCTGGCCATGCCGCTGGAAGCACGTGGTATCCAGGGCTGCAGATGCCCTGCCCCCACCCCGGCCAGGCCCCGGTGACGCTTTCACCCCCGGTGACCCCGGCGCGGGGCTATTTAACGGAGGAAGCGGGCAGCGAAGGGCAGTGGAGACCGGAACTCTCTCCATTCCAGGAGAGCAGCGGGAGCCTCAGCAGCAACACGCGCCGAGGGAGTTCTCTTCTTCACTCATACTCACTTTCATGTAAGTACCTCACACATGAAAACTCAACACAGGTCAAAAACCAAATGACGATTTTGTTTGTGAGATGGATACTAAATAGAACACTACCTGTTAACAATAAACCCACTGCAGAGTTTATTTCTCACCCGTAATCTCTCTTAATATCTTTAACCTTTCTTAATCGTAACTATTTCTCAATGTCTTAAACATAAACAATGCGCGAATAAAACTGCTTACTAGGTTGTCATAAGCGCAGCAATTTATCGATTTTTTTTTTAATTTATGCGTCCACAGGTTTAATCACGCCTTCAGAATATCATATGCAATTCTAAAAGTACATTTCATAGTGATTCTAATAAAAAAATTCTAATGTAAAGAGAATCTCATGCGGTCCCTCATTACAGCACTTACTGTCATCTCAGACCGTCTGATCAAATTCACGATCCAGGATTTTGTCAGTCCTTTGGATCTTTTGCGAGATGTATCGCGTATGTGGGCTATACATTGAACTGATATCTTAACTAAGTTCATTACTGCGTTCGGTGCGCAGGTTGTTACCGTGTTCTATGCGTAGACACGGTATTATTCCCGGAATATGTTCAGAAGTGCATTTCTTAGAATCAGAACGTAAATGCTAATGATTCCTAAAGAAAGATGATTTCAGTAGACGTTTTATATCACATTTCTGCACATTCAAAGCACATTTCTGGAAACCTCTAATTTTGTTTGCTTTAATTTAAGAATTTTATTTCTTCAAAGTCGTAGACATCCTTAATGAAACATATAAGCAAGTTTTGTCGTTTATGAGTGCCAGACGTCGATTTAGCCGAGATCGCAATGGATTAGTATTAAAAGATGAAAAAACATTATATTAGAGAGCTTCAACAAAGTGCGCGTACGGCCCCGACGACAATGGGCGAGCGCTATGCGCCCAAAATTAATTTCGACGTTAATGGGTTTTACATTGACTTCTTTTGATTGATCAACTGGGACATGGTTATCCAATTGGGAGCTTTAACACAAAAAGTTAAGTCTTAACAAAGCTCCCGATTGGAATACCGAGTCCAGCTTATTAAACGTCAGAAGTCACTATTATTAAATCGCAATATTGTGCACTTACCAATAAATTTATTTATTTCATAAGCAGATTTCGATGTTTTAGTCATCATTTTTACTTCTGGTAAAAAAATATTTTAAAACATTAAGATTAAAGTAGAGAAAGGTAAATAATAAATAAGAAGTTATACTATAAAAACATTTTTCTCCTCTCTTTTTTTTCTAAGTAAAAAATATTAAACTGCATCAATTGCAAAGCGAAATATATTGGGCAAATATGCTTTACGTATTATGTTACAAAAATGTGTAAACTAGTATTAAAGAATGTACACTTGACTATATAAATAACCCAAATAAATATCACTTTACTAATAATATGCGTCAAACATGACACACTATCAATTCATACACACACATTCATTTAGGACTCGAAATACAAAATCAGTACCACACCTGATTATTGTTGTAAATTCTATTTAAATAATGATTTTCTTAAAACATATACGAAAACCCCTTCCCTTCACTGAAGGCAATTATTATTGTAAACTCCAGTTCCTCTCTTGCAGCGCGCTGTCAGGTAAACCCAGGCCGTCGACCCTCTTCCTCCACCACCCCCACACCCCCGCCCCAGCGCATTTAAACCGCTAGGCGCGCCCAGGCCCCTCGTGGTGAAATTTCTGGTTCCCACTCAGCAAGTAGGAAACGGCCCAACTTCACTTTCATTTCATTTATTATTCAATCTTGCTTGATTTCAAAAATCTTTTAAATCTTGCATTCAGAATCAAAATAGAATAGTGCCTATGGTGTTAAATCGATCCAGCGGTACCCCTTTCTTCTTTTACTTTGTTATCTTATGATTATGTTCATTCCCTAATATTTTATTTAAATTCTAATTTATTTGTCGCTAATACATGCTTTAAAAATTAATTTTACTAATGTGTCTTTATATTATAAATTTTGAATTTACTGTTTTGCACTCTACCTTTATGCTGTATATTTTTGTACAATTTTTATACCAAATCTGAAGATGATTGCTAAGCCGTCAAACGCTAAGAATCAAATAAATAAAAACTTCCCAAAATCGATTACTTTGTAATTTTCTTAAAATCAGATGGGTCTGAAAGGGTCTTGACAGGACAAACTCTTTCCCCTGACGTGACGTGACGTGACGTGACGTGACGTGACGTGACGTGACAGAGATGGGCCAACGTATTGACTCCGACGGCAGAGGGAGTCCCCCTCCCCTTGACAAAAAGTATTATGGATTTTCCAGAGTTTGGGTCACAAAAGATACAATTGTTTAAATTTGCTTGTGTGCAATACGTATTAAAACAGTGGCTGTGTAACAACATACAGGCCTCCAGCCTGGCGAGTCTGGTACAACGTCCAGCATCACTACTTACAGTGATCAGAAACAATGTAACAAAGGAGGGTGCGAGAGATCGCACATGTGTCGGGAGGGGGGGGGGTTGCGGAGAAGCTCTAAAAGACTACGGCCCAATCAAGTACCTTAAAATTAATTCAATCAAGGCAATTACGTTTCATAAATACGAAATAACTTATTTCATGAAAACGAGATTTTCATTGTTTTGATTCCTACCTTTAAACAAGAAAACTTCTTCCCCCCCCCCCAAAAAAACACGAAATTTTCAATTTTCATCAGGGTTTCTCTACTAGTTCTGTCAAATTTTGAAGGAACGTCACACGCAAACGTCTTCCGTGTAGCGCACCGACATAGCTTCAGGATATTATTTCCTTTGTTTTTCTTTGCTCTTAAAACCAGTTCCCAGAAGCTACGAGCCAGGGAGAAAAGTAATGACTTTTCCTTGTTTCACTACAACGCGGAGCCTTCCTTGATAGTATATTCATCTTCCCTATCGAATAAACATTATTAATGATCACATACGTAAAAGCTTATCAGAAGTCTGCCAGATATATCTCAAATGTAACTACTAATTAAAGCTTACTCTAATGTATGTTTCAACTAAATGGGACTCTTGCGTCATTCAAATTTCAATGCCCCCCGAGATAAAGGATTGGGTGAAAACGAGAACGGTATAAGTGATATTTTACAAATTCTGAGAAATCTGTTTATTTAAGTCAGTATCACTGTAAAGTTGTGGGGCTTTGTTCCATCATTAAAGCCACGACATTTCAATTGTTCACTAAAACCATGAAACCACATTGCCACTGAAATATAGCCTAAAATAAACACGTTTTTCCAAACATTTATAAAAGCCATAACGTTCTGGTTTTCACCCATTTAATTAGTTTATTAAGCGATATTTGCAGAAACAATGTGTTCCTTTTCTTCCAAAAATAATCTCGAAAATAATCAGATAATTCTACCCAGAATTACAGATATCTAAAAATATTTTTCCGGCTATTAGACATCAAAACCGTTTATAATTTACTCTCAAACATTGAACAATTGCGAAAAAACTATGTAATCGGTGAACTCCCGAGTATGTGCTTCAGGTTGGAATATTAAACTAATTAAATTAAAAACTGAAAAAACGCATGAATATTTTATTGTTCGTCAAAGTATTTACTTAAGAGATACTAGTAAATGTATATTTCGTTCTATAGAACTACAAGTTAGAGCGAAAGTCTGTAGCATCCGACCGGGTGGGTGGCTCAGGGAGAGCATCAACTAATGTCACAACAGTGCCTCTGACTGGGAGGTCCTGGGGTTCGAGTTCCGACGGTGGCAGGATTTTCGAATCCTGCTAGATAGCTAGGTCGAGTTCTCTCGCTGACTGGATGAGAATTCTAAAGGCCGGTTGCTCTGATTGGTAGATTTCCGTGGTTTCTCCGCTCAACACCAGGCGAATGCCGGAGCAGTGCCCTTCCAAACGGGCCACGGTCCGCGCGCGAACTGGCCTTCTCATTCCTTGTTCTATCATCACCTCTTATACACACACACACGCGCGCGTACGTGCACTACTCTACCACACATGCTGGGAGGCTGTTCGGGAGCTTAGAACTTGTCCCGACTGGGGCGGTGCCCCACTGGTGGGAGATACCTGGTTGGGGAAAATTCCGCTAGCCGACAGTAGGTCGGCGCCGGATCTCACCATCCAGCTGGAGGAAGATCACCGCCAACTCCCGAGCAAAAATATGCACTACCCTTTTGTAATTAATGATCTTAGCGGTTGACGCGCCGGAATCTCTAGTAATCAATCAAGCAATCTCAAGCATCCGCTTTGTGTTTTCGCAATCACGAACACACAAATTACAACCAAGAATTAATTGCGGTGCTCGTGCGAATTGTCAGTCTCCGTGAGAGCGAGAGCTAGGAATGGCGTGGCATTCTATTTATTAATATTAGTTTGCTGCTGTTGTTAATACTTGCTATCAAATTAACTGATTGTTTTATAACAAAAATATCGTAAATTAAACATTTACTTGGATAAAAAGAAAACATTTCTACGATTTGAATTCGGAGACATGACGCAATGACAGAGTTCCACAGACATTTCACCTCACTGTGGTCGCTGTGGGTCTCACCCGTACGTACGAGTACCCCATTGAAATACGACGATCTTGTGTATGACAAGTGTAGTGATGAGTCATGAGTATTAAGACGGAATGGTTGGAGGAATAATAGATACTAGTGGACACGAGAGAAACGCGAAGAAACTTTCCGCGAATCCTTTATGCCCCTCCCTATAAATTCCAGAGTGATCATAGTGTTAACCATTGTCCTCTGAAGCGGAGAGCTATCGATAGTCTGCTAGCGGTCGGGCTATGTGAAACTCGCATGACATCCGCAAATGACGCACGATAAACAAGGGAAATACGAGGGTGTGTTGTAAGGAAAGCTGCTCACTAACGCTTCGGAGTGTACTACGTGTGTCTAGATTTTTCCTTGTTTAGAAGAAACATACAAGTAGCAAGTTAGACTCTTTTTGCCGAACGTTCCTAATAATTACTTCATTCCTGTGTTTGAAACACCTCTATAAAGGGAATGTAACTCTATAACGCGATCATAATTCGAGCAAAATTACCAGTTAACTAGCGGTGTTACATCACATTATTTCTCGCATAAGTAACGTTTACGTAATATTTTAATACTGCAATTTCTGTCATTATTAACATATGTCAGCCATCTCTTTTAAACGTCATTGCCAATCGTAAAGCATTAGGGCTGAAAAGTAATTCTTTTAAATGCATACATATTAATACTTAAACCCAAATTAGACAACCCAAAACAAAGCCAGGAACATTCTTGAACAATGAGAATCAATTCTAAGAATTTCAATATGCTGTATCACGGCGTTGCATTTGTATTTGCAGTTCAATATCTCTTTAAAGACTTGCAGAAGAAAGCAAAAGGAGCACGAAAAATTCGAATTTGCAATTTCGAAGACATGCAGAAATTACGCGAAACCACTCATATTTTCAACAAATTGTATGTACCTTACTTAAAGGTCTAAAATTAAAAAACAGATTTCATTAAGTAAAAAGTCTGTTATCAATATTTTAGTTTTGCAATGTTCTTTTTTTTTTTTTTTTTGCAATTTTCAAAAATATATTTTTACCGAAAATCAGCCCTACGCCATTTTTATAAACATACTTTGTTCTATTCGAGAGAAAAAAAATTAAAAATTGGAACTGATTTTAAGAAAACGTTTTTTTAATTGACTTTATGTAAAAATTACGCATAGAATACTTGCCTTTCAAAATAATATATGTGACCTTTTCTAAAGCTCTAATTTTTTTAGAACAGATTTTATGAAGGAAATATATATCATCAATATTGTACTTTTGTGATGTTAATTTTTAGCAATTTATCTTTGCAAGAGATTAAGCAAAATAAAGAGTTCCCCTAAAGTGGGACCTACGCTATTTTTATCACGGTATTTTGCTCTATTCGAGAAAAAGAATTAAAGAAAAGATTGGGGCCTTTTTAGAATTTTTTAATTGTTTCTATTTTACCCAAAATAATTCATGCGAAAACTGCTAAAACTATAAACTAAAACTACTTCATACTAAAACCATATTTTTCAAAAATCGTACGTGACCTTATTTAAAGAGCTGTGTTTGAAGAACACATTTCATTCAGAAGAAATATTTATCTTCAATATTGTAGTGGTAAGAAGACGCCAAAATATTTGAAGTTTTCCAATTTTCAAGAAATTGAGATTCAAGACTGGGACGAAAATGCGGCCTACAACATTTGTAAGCGTATTTTTCTCTATCTGTTGAAAATTTTAATTATTTTTTTTTTTTTTTTTTTTTTTTTTGAGAAAATGTTAAGAACTCACGTACAGTATCTACAAAAACCAAAATGTTAATTTCAAATTCAAGACAGAAGCTAGACGGACGTTTTTCCATCAGCCAATATTCCGGTGTCAAAGACCCACAATTGGAGTTTTCATTCGAAATATTCCCACTTTTGCCGCTGCATTACAATACATTCTTTCCTATGTAAGTAGTACGCGTGACAGTAAAAATGCTCCACACGTTTTGGAACATTGCTGTTATAATAACAAATTACGCATGCTTATTCACACGACTGAGATTTACTTAACATCTTGCTCGAAAGAAATAAGAGCAATATCTACATCTGTTTTTAAATGACTAACGTCCTGCTTGTAAAACAAAATATTTTGCATCCGGTTCCAAAGACTGTTATTGCTTCTTTCGAATGCACCTTCTCCCTTTCTCATATACTATAAACAGATACACCTTGTTTATAGTAAAGGCAACGTATTTGCGCTTTTTGGAGGAGAGAACAAGAAAATGAATGTTTTCAAATGCCTGAGACAAACTTTCTCGCCATTGATAACGAACGGAAAACGGATACTGGTTCTAAAATTCTTACACAATAGAAACACTTTTGTGCAAACTATTTCTAAATGCCGTCATTATATATGAGTACCTTTTATTTTTCACACAATATGATAAATCTCTCAGGCATTTTGCTGACAAACACGCCAGTAATGAGCTACAGTTGTGAAAAATGTCTGTTAATTGAGGGCAGCGAGGTAAACAGGCATACCCAAGGAAGGTGAATTATACCGTTCTAAGCTTCTCGAAAAAGAAAACTGAATTTTCGTAATATGTACAAAGACCAAAGGCAACGTTATAAATTATGTTAATTTGGTTAGAAAAAGACGATAGCCCTTCGTATGCCCCGTCCGGAGCCTTCGCAGCAGAGCACGGCAGGAAGCATGACCTGGCCTAATCCTAGTACACACATTACGCAGAGGGTCTCAATAAAATACGAGTGTTTTCATACAGAAGGAATGCCAGTAAGTTGTGAAGACCGTATTACGCAGAGGGGCTCAATAAAATACGAGTGTTTTCATACAGAAGGAATGCCAGTAAGTTGTGAAGACCGTTTGTCATCCTTCGCGGCTTTTTAGGGTACAGTTTACCTTAACATGTTATACATGAATAGGCCTACTTTTAGATATTTTTACTACGAGCTCAGTCTATAAAATATGTACTCTTAAGAATCCAAATAATTGTTACGTACAGATAGCAGCTAATAGACTTTTTCTATGGGGGCTAAAGATGTAGTGTCCAGCCGATGTTGTCATACGATGTTATGTCGTATTTGTTGATTTACAGTAATTTATTACTTATTCAAAAGAGATATTAAATGACTCTGACAACCATAAACTCATATCAAAATCTATTTTCGTGAATATCGACCTACAATGTGCTGACCCCATCCCGTCGGCATACTATCGAATAAACAGTAAAAACCTACGTACTACTAGTTACGTGCCCGTAGACATCCATCAACCAGTAGAAACATTTGGGACATCGGATTAACAATGCGTTTTCCATTCCTCAGAACCGCACGACGATGGCGCCGAACATAGTGGAGGCTTCGCTGGTCCTCGACGACAACTCCAACATCCGCGAAGAGCCCAAGGCCCCCACTTCCCACCGCGCGCGCCGGCGCTCGTCGCACGGGAAGAGACAGCGGCCCGCCCGCTCCCGCCAGATCGTCTGGAGGAACGTGCTGGCCTTCGTGTACCTGCACACCACCGCCGTCTACGGCTTCTACCTCCTGGGCACGGCGGCGCAGTGGCGCACGGTGCTCTTCAGTGAGTATCTTCAAGGTCAAATGTCCAACGGACGGAAACAAACGAAACAAATCGTCCTCCGACAACCGATGTTTTCGGACGCCATTGTAAGAGATCGTTCGAGTCCACTTTGGCCATTTCCGTTTTCAATCATGTGTTTGAACGAATCCGGAATGTCGGACAATAACGGCCGGCCGAAATTTGGGCAAAATCGGCTCTATTGTGGCCCCCGCCGGAGGCATCCGAAAACATCGTCCGTCGGACGAAGATCTGTTTCGTTTGGTTTTGTCCGCCGACTGAAATTTCGGCGAAAATCGTCTCCCCTGTGACCGCCACCTTGACCTAAGAACTTGACTAGGCAGCATCTAGGATGTTTTCAAAACTAACCGCGCAACTCGGCAAGCTGCAAAGCTTCAAATTAAAACTTCCAGGTTGCGCCGGTTGGCTGGAGTCGTATGACAGGGATGCCAATTTTATTTTAAACACCAATAGCTCAACAATGCAACTAAGGTGAAAGTCTAACACACGTACGTGGTGTTTATGTCTGTATGCTAAGAAAAATGTGACGGTTTTATACCATTTTGGAGACACTATCGACACAAACCCACGGAAGAGTGCTAGTCCTGGATACAGAATTATCCCCCAGGGGTGCATAAAACAGATTTAAGATGAAAAATTTAGAAAGACGCACGTTAAGATGCAAAAAGAAACCAGCACACGCAATACCGAACCCACGCTACCCTTACAACACAATTTACAATCGTGCATAACTCAAAAACGATGCATCAAAATAGTATTTATGCAATTTGTTTATAATGATAAGCTTTATTGCATAAGTACATGTTTTGAAAACGAGCGTTAGGAGTGGGTTTTAAAATTTGTACGAACGCAATAAAGCAACATTATAAACGAGTTGCATACGCTGATTTTTGTATAACGTTATAATAAAGTTGTTTCCAAAAATTAACAAATTTATAATGCTGTCACGGGTATTTGACATGTGTACGAAAATAACGGCGCTCTTACGTAGTTTACCGCTACCACTACCCCCGATCCTCGATTCGCTAGCTGCGATTGGCTGAATGTGTGATGACGCAATTATTCCTGCCGTAAGTGGCTAATACATCATAATCTGTGCCTTACAATGCCATTTTATGAACGATTTCTTGCAACGAAAAAGAACGTTTATAATTTTGGTGTATAAAAAGAAGTCTTCGTTTCAACGGTCCAAGAGTTATGTTTCTTATGCCATATTCTACAAAGGAACGAACCATCTAATATGTTGCAAAAATTATAAATAATTATTAGATATATTGAAAAAATAATTGAATGACATGAAACTATGTTAAATTTTGTAAGTGTCAATATAAAAGAAATGCAAGTACAACACTGCAAATTTGTCAAGCATTAATTTTCGAAAGTGCTCATATATATATATATATATATATATATATATATATATATATATATATATATATATATATATATATGCCCCCAAAGAGGTAGAAAATATCAAAACAATTTTACCCAAACATGCCAGATTGCGATTCTGAGGCCGACATGTGTTAAAGCTGCGTCTCCACCACATGTTAACTGTTAAATGCCACTTGCTGAAAATCGCGACACGCTCTTTGCGGTGTGTGGAGACGCGGCTTTGCTCGAGCGAGGAGGCGTTCGTTGTAGCGAGGGTCGTCGTCGTCTGTCCGCAGCGCTGGTGTACGCGCACTTGGCGGGGCTGGGCATCACGGCCGGCGCGCACCGCCTGTGGGCGCACCGCTCCTACAAGGCGACGTGGCCGCTGCGCTTCTTCCTCATGATCTGCCAGACGATCGCCTTCCAGGTGAGAGCCGCTGGAGCGTTTGCCAACAGAACGGGAGTTCCCCTTGTAACAGATTTCTTTAGATATCCACAGACAAAAAAAAATAGAATCGCAACGTTATGTTTTAGAGCTCTTTTCCGCCTAAACTAGTTTAATTATTTAGTGTTTTCAGGCTACTACTATGGCAATTAATCCCCTAAGTATAGTGCATATATTATTCCCGAACGTGTTTTGCCTTCGTCCGCTTGAACTTGAGATCCGGCGTAGACCTACACGTCATCTTTTGGGATTTCCCTACAGGTACCTCCCCGGTGGGACAACGCCCCAACCTAGACAATCTCTGGTTTCCTGACCGCTCTCCCGACATGCCCAATACTGTAGTACATATAAGACGGGGGGGGGCAGAAACGATAAGGAAAGGTCGCGCGCGGTCCGTTAAAGTATAGTTCCGGCATTCGTCTTACATGGAGGTGAGCGGAGAAACCACGGAAAACTACCGATCAGAGTGACGTGTCGCTAGAATCCTCCTCGCTCCTCTAGAGAGTGGCTGAATTCGACCTAGCCCTGTAGCTACTTGGTCGAAAATCCACCAGTATCGGTACGCGAACCCTTATACCTCCCGGTCAGCGAGGCTGCTGAAGCAACCGCGTGACCGGCTTGTTTCCCAGATTGTCGAAACCATTTACCAATTATACCCAAAGTTATGGTGTGCATGTCGAAACATACATTAGACGCACACTTGCGAGCTCCGTGTGCGATCAGTACTCATGCTCTCCCCTTGATACACGACGAGCAAGGAACAAACATTCAAGCCCAGGGCAGAATTCGAAACCACCACCCTTCAATCCGAAGCATTGGGTCGATATATATCAACCTTGGTTCTTCAATAGGCTTCTGGTCCCTCTAAAGCGCTGTAATGAAAAGATCAGACAATTTTCTGTAAAATATTCTAATTTTTCTTGCAGTATAAATATTCTGGAGTGAACATTTCGTGAGAAACATGAATTAAATATTATTTTGCTTTTTTCTGCGTTTTCGTATTTTCTACTAACATCCGATGTATGTTTTATTCTGCAAAAGATTAATGAGATAATTATATATTAGGTGCAAGTAAGCACTTGTAAATACTGATGAACTGACAGGGTACTCCAAAGATGAAAGAGAGAACTTCCATCTATTTTATCGTGCACTGCATCTTAGTCAATCACATACCTATTGAACAGATTTCTAACGCTTCGATTGGAACTTTTTTTTTTACATATATTGACAATCCTTTGCAATTCGGTAAATTGTTATCGTAGTTTCAAAGGACACGGTTCCGCTGCTTTGTGATGGCAGCTTAAAAAAATTGCAATCTCCTGCTAGTGGCAGTTATAAAATTCACTCAAAAACCTATTACTATATGGAACACGATTTTTTATTTACAAGTTGTAATTTGAAAGTAATTTCAATGTTTATAACGTTTAAATTGACTTGCACGTTTACATAAAAAATAAGATGATTATAAAAGTAGTTAAAAGAATAAATTATTAAAATCCGTATTGTTAAGTTGACCAACTTTTGTCTGCGAAGCATACGATGATGTCTACATCGTGAACCAAGTTATTTTGTTTCGTCCGTGCACTTGGTTATTCGTATTCCGAGAGAAAACATTTCGCTAATTTAAGTTTCAAGGAAAGACGCGACTAAGAAAGTTACTCGATAATGAGTCAAAACATCTTGCAGAGCACAATACGCTTGTTCCACAATCAGTGCGTTCCTAGAAAGGAAAAATCCCTCTTTCAATTTTAATTCATTTTCGAGAAATTGAATGCAGTTCTCAAGGAGAAATCACAAGGTTCTTGAACGTACACACGACGGGTTGGCCAGGAGACATACGGATCATGCCATAGCCTTCCCCACAACCCTGTTAAAATTCGATACAAAAAGGAAAACAAATGGATGGGCAAGTTACAACTTGGTGGTTGTACTCAGAGAAAGTGATGAACTGAAAGGACTCAATATGAATAAATAGCGTTAAATGAAGAAATGTGTTTAGAAAATAGTATATTTTTACTAGTATACGTTCATGAAGATTAATTCCCAAAACAGCCAGTATAGAAGAATACAACGCTTTTCTCTTTTGCCACGAAATAAATGGCATCATTCAGATTAAAACAGTTTTGCAAAATGATAATTTTTGGGTGTGTTACTTTTCTCGTGCGCGAACGATAAACAACAAGACAATAGTTATTCACCGATTATTCGTCTTTAAATATATAATTCAAATTTGCACACATAATTTTGCTTTCTTTCTTACAAATAGAAAATTATGTAATATTTTTACATTACACCACAAACCCACGACCTCGAGTAGCACGTCCGGAACCGCCCTTTCTGTACCGGCCGGGGTAACCAAGGCCAGCCACCTGACCGGCTCTTCTTCTTCCTGTGCAGAATCACATCTACGAGTGGGTGCGAGATCACCGCGTCCACCACAAGTACACGGACACGGACGCCGACCCACACAACAGCAGGCGCGGCTTCTTCTTCTCGCACATGGGCTGGCTCATGCTGCGCAAGCACCCGCACGTTCGCGAGCGCGGACAGAAGCTGGACATGAGCGACCTGGAGGCCGACTCCATCGTCATGTGGCAAAGAAGGTACAACCGACTCCCCACCACTTCCGCAAACATAACTTACCCCCCCCCCCCCCAAAAAAGAAGAAGAAGACATATTTAAATTCTTCTCATCCGTTTGTTTATTTATTTATAACAAAAACAGTAACTATTTAGTTACTGTTTTTGTTTAAAAAAGTTAATGTTGTTGGACTCTAAAACAATTTCTTGCTGAAAATCTAATTCATCCCCAATTACATTTTTTACTGAAAATCAGAAGCAAAAAAATGCCAATGTTATGTTTTGGAAAACATTTAGGTGCTTTATGTTTAGTTTTTCATTACAGAGGTTTATATTTGATACTATTCTGTCCAGGTATTACATCCCCCTCATGGTAATGTGGTGTTTTGGCATACCCTCATGGATTCCTTCGTTCTTTTGGGGAGAACAATTGTATGTGGCTTACTACGTGACTTTGGCTAGATATACTTTCCAACTCCATGCAACATGGCTAGTGAATAGTGCAGCCCATATCTGGGGAATGCGACCATATGACAAGTAAGTATTTAAGAATAAATGGTTTTGTTGACAATGATTAGTAAAATTATAATACTTTCCCTTCTTGTATACTCATAAGCTTCATAAATAAATTAAGTGAGAAACGTAACAGTTGATTTTTTTGGTCATCATTTATAAAACAATATTTTTATTCTGTTACAGAAATATTAGCCCAACACAGAATTTAGGTGTTGCAATTGTAAGCCTAGGGGAGGGTTGGCACAACTATCATCATGTTTTCCCCTGGGATTACAAGACAGCTGAGTTGGGAAATTATGGTACGAATATGACAGCTGGATTCATAGATTGCTGTGCCAAATTAGGCCTTGCATACAACCTGAAATCTGTCGCAAATGAATATATTCGAAGAAGAGCTCAGCGCACGGGTGATGGAAGCCACACCCATGGGGGAGTTTGGGGTTGGGGAGATAAAGACACATCCAAAGAGGACATAGCAGCTGTACACATTTCACACCACAAAGAATCTTAAAGAACGTTTGCCAAAACATGGAATCATGGAAAAGTTATTGTATTTAGAGCTGATTTACCAAGCATAGAGGCACAGTTCTAAAACAATGGAAATCTTTCAAAGAATGCCCTCCATTCCAAAAATGGAGACTTCCAGGAAGGATAGAACTTATGTGCCTAAAGTTTAATCAGCAAATTTAAATAGATCTCTAAACTATGAAAGAGGGATCTACAGAAAAGAACATTTTTAATTTGGTTTTGCATTTGCAATGTCATTGCAGAAAGATATGCATCACCCGGGAAACTGCGGTAAATAACACAGCTGATTACATAAAATGTGTCTTGAGTGAGTATTTAGGAGAAACGCCAAATGTCTGTGTTGTGAACAAGTGAGTGAATATTGGCAATATTCAATTGACTATATTTTGAGTGACAGTGTTTAAAGAAATTCAAAAAATTATTTTAAAAATTGAAATGAGGATACTACGATCACCCTCATTCCCAAATTTTGAACTAGTTTTCAATGCAATTTTTTGAACAAGCAAGAGTTAGAGATATATGTGAAATATCTCTATAACATTGCACTAAACTATCAAGAGTTTTCCTAGTATGTGAAGTATTTCATTTACATGTCATGATCCTTTATCAAAGGAAACCTGGGAAATACACCATCATGAACGCAGGAGGTGTATGATAACCATAAATTTTCAAAACTGAATATGATAACAGGTCTAGTCAAGGTCTTAATCTAGCAGGAGTTGTACATAATAACAGTTTTATTAGTTTCCTTTTAAACAACAAAATCGTAGTTTGGTATATTCACATTGAATATACCAAAAAAGAATATACATTCTCAGCTGATCTGAGTAGCGCAGATTGTTATGGCAGGAGCGCCTCCGCCGGGGTCTTGGCATTAAAGGTCATGGGTTTGACACCCACCGTGGACATGGATGTTTATTTGTGTGTTGTGGCATGGCAGGGCTTTCCCCAACCATTGTGTATGGGCATATGCCCATCTTTATTAGTTGAGGAGAGGGAGGGTACCGTCCAAACAGTAGCTTAATGGAATATGAGACGGCGGATGAAGCGGATGCCCTGGGAACTCATGGTGCAAGAGTTTTGAAGAGTTGGGATAAGCAGGTCGCTGAGAGGGTCAAAAAGCTAAAAGATGATCTAATGAAACAAGTAATATACATTTTCATTATGCACAATACAGTCTCATTATATACAATATGTTCTCGTTATGTATACCAAAGTCAGATACATAAATGTTTGTTCTAACTGAATTAAAATGTTTACTTCTCAACTGAAATTCCCTCTATATGACAATTGTTCATTTCTCTTCTCAATATTTTTACTGGTATTTTATAGAAGATTGTGTACAAATGAAAATAACAAAAAAAAAATGAAAATAGAGAAATCGTGAAACGTATTAACTGTTTTAATTCATCCTATATCCAAATTGCTTACAATTATTACAAACACCTAATAATGATTTTCCTTACTTTGAAAGTTTCTCTCTGTGATCTTATAGTAAGTTGATACCACTTCCAGTAATTTCCTTATCCCTATGCACCCTTTACCTCTTTTATCTTAAATTCTAGAAACTCACCAAAAAACACAAACTCTGGAATCTTACAGCTTGTAGCTGAATTCCAGATCTCTGATGCTTGTCAGAGATTTTCTTAAGTCAACAGGGAATGGGCCACATACGTAACGGTCCAGTATATAATTACTTCCTCGGTAAGATCTAGTAACTACAATGCTACTAGCACCTCTTTTGCCAATTAATAGTTATTTTGGGAAAGCATCTTTTAGTTTGTAATGTGGCAGTATGCAACCTTAGATCTCCTATCTTGTAACTTGCGAACTGAAATCAAGTGTATTACTAACATCATGTGAGGGGTCTAGTTTCAAAATGTGACTTTTCCACCTTTGGCGAAAAATAAGATATTGGTATCTGTAGGGGTCCAATGCAGTTATGCTTCGTTCTATAAAATGATTTGTAACAAAACACGTTTTTTGTTCACTCCAGAGGGCTTCATGCGTGTTAATATCAAATGTGTTAATATCAGAATGCAATCTTTCCATAATGTTTATTTTGTTGCAAATTACAATCTTAAAAATACAAAAACATATGTTTTCACCAAAAATACAAAAAAAAATTATTTCAATTACACTTCAAAATGAGACTTTTCCAAATTTTTTGCTCAACTTTCTTCGTAATGACTAGATATTCTCGAATTATCTTATAATATTGTTTTTATGTTCACTAGCCAAGGGCATTAATCCCAGTTAGCAGCAGAATGTTTGAAACAAATTATGTGACATTTTCTTGTTTTTCTCTAAACAGACTAGAATGGACAAGTCTCATTTTGAAACTAGACTCCTCAAGTCATAGAGTTTCATACCATCTTTTGTATTGAAAGTACAAAATGCACGTTCCTCAAAAGGTATGCCAAATTTATTATATCCATCTTCTCTTCATATTAACTTGTGATTTCCTAAATCGAGTACACATTTCTCTTTCCATCTGAACTGCAATATTTTCAAACTTCTAGTCACTGATTTCTTTAGCCTCACATATTGAATTTTTCCGCTACACTCGCTATTCTCAGAGTCCAGATTCTGAGAACATTGATTGGCATCAACTTACCATCCACCATGCTATTCGTATTACGTTGTGAATAAATTTTGGTGAAGTTGGTTGCTGTTTTTTGTTAGGTACATTGAGTTGGGATTATCACTGCAGGAAGCCAGCTTATTATAGGAGAGAAGGGCATTCACTAGTGCTTACATTAAGATGAACATGATTCTTTTCTCAGGAGGATCGCAATTGAATAATGTAATTTATATATGTGATTAATAATGACTTATCTATTAAAATGTTCTTAAAATTTCAGCTAAATAACATTTCACATGGTTAGAGAAATGTCAAAAATAAACAATTGCCTGTAAGTGCCTCATGTTTCACAGATTGTGGGCACAGCGTGTAGTACACGCAGCATGAGCATGTTACTTGGGCTTTTATTTCTTGGCGCTTGAGCGCACGTGAAAGCCATCTTCACCAAACTTCACGATCTCACAGCATTTCGCGTCTTTCTCAGACGTACCGCATGATCATGACTGTATTGAGCAATGCTGGCGAAATAAAATAAAACTAAAGTATACATCTTCTCTATCTATTTTATTAAATAGGACGTGTACTGACCTAAGAGAGGAAACATAAAACTTTAATGCTTGGAAATATTGAAAAAACTAAATCTGTATTTTTTGCCTTAATACTATGAGAAAATTCTCGAGATCCGAGTTTATATTATTATAAAAATGCATTTGTAAAGCATGTATTGCAGAACTTCAACAATCACTTGTTGGATGAGGAGTTCAAAGTAAATTTTAACATATTAATTCTTTCTTTACTTTGCAACAAATGTATTAAAATTTTTAAAAAACTTTCATTTTATTTTGTCGATTAATTATTGATATTGCATCAATTTTTATCAACGACTGATAGGGAAATTATCACATAAAGAGAGCATCATTTTGTATGAACATTAGACAGCTTTAACATAAACCTATGAAGTTTTTAACTGAAAACCGGCTCCATCCATTGATGAGTATTCACCTTTTTGTCATATTAGCATACCTTGTAACTCCAGATTGAACAGTTTTGCAATTAAGGGAATAAAGATAGCCAGGAAGCAGAATTTTAGTTTCCTTTCTTGATCAACTTATAAATATTGGGTAACTCAATTATTTAAGATGCTCGATTTGTTATTTATTTTTATTTATTACTCCTCTTTCAAAATTATATTTTATCATTAAGTATAGAGAAATTAGTGGAGGGAATATGCAGTTACAAGGTTTGCTAATTAGCATGACATTTTATGTTCAGCATTCCAAGATATTCAAAGAAAATGGACAAATATCACAAAATTAAAAATTTGTCCTAATAATGTCATGTGTCATTTTCAACTGAATGACCATTTCATCTTCTAACAGATTTTTTCACAATATTACCCTCCATACAAGTGTTAGAAAAATAAACTAAAATATCCAAACTTTATTCTATTCTTTGAACTGAAGTATTTTCATGAAAAAAATTTATTCGTGTTTTTTCTCCAATTAAGAATTAATATCTCCATCACATGTTCCATTTCATATGGGTATTATAATTAAAGCAGGAATATATAAACTCTCCCATATACAAAAATATGTATGCATACAATATAATAATATCCTTTACATCCCTTCATTCCCCCTGAAGAATCTTTTAATTAATTGGAAAAGGCAATTCTGCAACTATAACTTCACAATGTATATCCCTTTCATAGTGTTAATGCACACTAAAGATACGTTTTATGTATAACGTAATGTACATCAATTTTAGTGCTTCTGTATCCACAAAAACAATGATTCTATGCACACATTTCATCTTGACGACAGCTTTTAACCTAATAGGTAAATATTATTCACTAACGCTCTTCATATCTAGTATCATGATGGAAAAAACTAATTAATTAGTATTTAATAATTATATAATTTATCTTCGTATAATTATATTTAATAACTATATAATTAATTAAGAACTTTATAATCTTCGTGACTTTATAATTATTTAATAAATAAATAATTAATATTTATTCCCATCGTGGCTAATACAACAATCCTACTGAAAAATCATAATAATACTGTATCCCCCCCCCCGTCGTTTTTAATATTTATAATTCCCGCTTTGACACCAACCAATCAAAATTAATTCATTCGGGTATTAATAGGTACTTTATCCCTAATGTGAGATAATCTAATGTTATTCTTATATTCTCTAACTGAGATTATCTTCATTTTCACAAAAGAAAACGCAAAAAACACAGAAATAATGTATCTTACATGATTCATACGTGCGGTTATGTTGGCAGGTCACGCGAAATGTCATTCTAATGCGAAGTTAAACGAACGGAATGCACCACATTGAAAATGCGAAAGAAAAATAATAATGAATGAATACACGTGAAATTCGCCTTAAAGTAAATTCCTTCTGAGGCAATGTTGTTGACCAACATTGGTTTGGTCATTCCCGATCAGCCCGTTCCAAGCTTTTGCGCAGCAGGCGAGGCGCTCCGGCGGTGCACCGCCTGTTTCCGTCCACGATAAGAAATATAACGTAATAAACGTTTTATTTTTAGTGCTTCTGTACCTGCAGGAACAATGATTGCGCACGCATTTCAACGTTACAGAGTCGCTTTTTACATATTCACTAGCGTCCTTCGTAACTATAAGCACAAAATTGCGTTTCCTAATGCAGTAAGTGAAAGCACAATGCACCTGCTTGCATACCCCCAACCGCCTCACCTGAAAAAGCGTTTGGTTTAAATAATTTAATCGTTGAATCTCAATCTTAACTTTTGTTCCTTTGTGCATGTTAATGCCCAGAAATTCATTTATACATCTCTCCCATCGGCAAATTGTTTTGACGTTTAAGTTTTCTAGCGGGGTGAATGCCCTTCAATGTTCTCCTGTTTCTCCTATGCTTTAATCTCCGGTTGGTTGCGATACTGAAAATTCTCATTGTTTTGCATGTCATTCTAATTCAAAAAATAATATTCTAGCCACTCAGATACTCTGATAAACTCTGCCGCCGGGAGTTCTCTCCAGTGTTCAGTCAATGGATACCAATTTTTGGATTAATATATGCTGCTTCTCCCACCCAAAACGATAGATCTCCACTAAAGAAAGCAACCAAGCAATTGCTGGAAGAAGCTGATGAATTGTTCAATGCGTTTCACTATGAAGATACTTATAAACTTCTCAAGGACTATAAGGTGGCAATAACTAGAGTATTTATTAAAAGAAATAATTACTAAGGGCTGCAGTATTAATTCTATTATTTTTTCTTATCAGGATAGTGATGATGTGGAAGCACTTTGGAGAATTTGCCGAGCATTGTACAATCATTCCAAAGAAGAGCTGGACACTAAAATCAAAAAGGCCCTGGTTGTGGAAGCATTCATAATTATTAAGCGTGCACTTGCTCTAAACGATAACCATTTTGCTACTCATAAATGGTATGCTATCTTGCTTGACGCTCATGCATCATACGCTGGTATAAAGGCACGCATAAACGAACTTTTGAATGTCAAAAATCACATGGTGGTATGTACTTATTGATTTTATCTTCATTGAGTGTATTTTTATTCATTTTGTCACTGTACTCAATTGAATTTCAGAGAGCAGCAGAACTGAATCCTAAGGACGCTACTACCCTTTATATGTTAGGAACATGGTAAAAAAAATTAAAGCTTTATCATACTTACAGCTGCATAAGCAAGGAATTAAGTCATAATATGGTTTATTTTTTGTTGTTGTTTTCTTTTTTTGGTCATAGGTGTTTTAGTATTGCAGATATGCCATGGTATCAACGCAAGATAGCAAGTACTCTCTTTGCTACACCTCCTTCATCAAGTTATGAAGAAGCTTTAAAGTATTTTATTAAAGCTGAAGAAGTTGATCCAAACTTTTATAGGTGAGAAAATGTTTCTCTTGTCTTCATTGACTCATTAAGAAATAAAACAACTTTTTAATTCCATCAATTAGTACTTGCTTTCAGAACTAAACACAATATCAATAATGGAAAATCAACCATCAAAGAGCTTTTTGTCACAAAAGTTCTATCTCCATTGGTACTAAAAAAATGTGAACCGAGAATTACTTCCCTGCATGTAAGAAAATCTCAAGAATCATGAGGACACCCTATGTTTGTTTGTTTGGTTTTAAGTTTTGGTGTTCAACCCTTCATTCTCATGAAATTATTGAAATACTTCAGTATTGCTTTCATCTAGCTGTTAACTATATTAAAAATTTCAAATTAGGATTTTTTTCATATAATTCTTTTAACCCCTAAAACCTATTTACTCATGTTTGTTCATTAAAAAATTAAATCAAAACAAAAACCTCATTGGGATATTTTTGAACTAAAGAATATTTTGAAGATATTGCTCTGTGAAGAAATTGGATTTATTTTTTGCAGTCTTAATTTGTTGATGCTTGGGAAGACCTATTTGAGACTAAAGGACAAAGAGAGAGCCATCCATTATCTTAAACTAACAACCGCTTATCCAGCCAGGACCGATGAAGATATGCAGGTGGATGTTCATTTTTTTTATTTTGATCCATTTTTATCTTTCTTGTTTTAAATGGAGAGAAAAAGTTACCATCTTGATCACTTGTATAAATTTATACACAAGCATACTCCACAGACAAGCTGCTTCTGGTAGGGACACGGGAAGGATGTGCTTGTGGCTTTATTTTCAGGTGCCTTGTTTGCATGTGCTTGGAAGAAGAGAATGGATCTTTGCTTCATGGCCTGACCAAGACTCAAATTGGCATACACCTGGCTGAAAGGAAGCACGCTGTTTTGGCCACACACTCATATGCACAGAGCCAAACAAATCACTTCCCTTTCCCTCTTGAGGAACCTTGCAATGCACAAAGCACACTATACCTCTGAAAATACCACACTGGCCAACTGAATTGTCTGGTATATTACTTGTTTCAGGCAAAGAAAGAAGCTGCTGAAATCCTGAAAAGTATCAAAGAATAAAAGATTACCATCTTTTATGGCTTCATTGGTATAAGAAAGTGCTTGAAATCCTAGAATACAAATCCAGCTTTCAAAATGTGAAATGTATTCATATGTGATGTTTTTCTCATCTTTCAACTGATATTATAAACTGTTAAGTTTATGTATCATGCAGGGTAAGATCAAATGACATTGATTGTAGTTTGTCTTCAGTAATATCTTAAGAGATACCTTGGATTTTACCTTTTTGAATCATTTGTGGCTACCATCAGTTTTCAAACTTCAAAGTGAAATAAAGAAAGACAGCAGGTTTAGTTGTGATATTAAATTGTTTTATGCTCTTAAATGAAAAATTCAAATTCCTCCCATTCCTAATGTATTCATACATCACACTGAAATTCAAAATGAAAATGCATTTTTTGTAACAAACAAATATTTTATCTTCCAACTCACCTTTAAAATTTACAATCTGATTACACAAATCAAGGATTTAACACATCAAAATGACTAGGATGTCATGCAATATGGGATACTGTAAGGTAAAAGAATATAATACCTATTATTCTGGATGGTTTACAATTGGAATCAAATAGCCTTGGAAACAGAACCAAGGTGCAATTAACAATAAATCTCATAATTCAAAGGAAACGTTGTTCACAACCAATCTTTAACATTCCTCAAGGATGAAATTACTCAAACACTGGAGGGATATCAAAAATGCAACAATGCACATTTCAATAATAAATATTTTTAAATTGAAAGTTGGATAAAAAATTAACAAATAACAAATATATCTTGTCTTTCTTGAAGTTCCCTTCTAACAATCACACTGCCCTTTATCTAGATTTCTCAATCACACAATACGAGAATAAACACTACTTCCATGCTTGTTTTAGGGCCTTTCTTGATGCCAGTTTTCTGGTAATGTAAGAAACAACAGTAAGTCCAAGGAGAACAGCTGATATAAGAAAGTGATCAAAATCTTCTTTCAAAACATCAAATGTTTTTGATGGAGCAACTCTGGTGTAATACAAATCTGCAAAGGCAAAATTTATTTACATTTATTACACATTTTTGTAAAAATGAGATGGAAAAATGTTACAACTAAACAACATTGTTTCGTTGCATTATTATGCCACAAAAAGAGGATTTAGATATAAAGTAGCAAAAAAAATATAAATTTCTGTATTCTACCTTATATTAATTTTAATTGAGAATCTGCAAAAATATGAAATAGCCATAGGGATTATGGGGAGGAAATTACAAGTAATATATTTTTCTATATTTACACAAATTAATATGTAGGTAATTTCGAAAAGTTAAAGTTAACTCTTACATCATGTGTCAAATATTACAATCCAAGTTGATATCAGATTTTGAGTTAGGCGAGCCTTCAAAAAAGAATACTGTCACCCAATTTATTAAGGCAGTCAGAGACAATTTTTAAACTTGACTAGCAATTTTCATTAGTTATGAAATTTAAATGATTCTGTATTTTTTAAGATTTCACACATCACACAGATTTTAAAATGTTTCTTAATATTTTATGCTTTATAAAGCATTTTAGGAGTTCCTTCACACAAATACCTTCATTAAAATAAAAATATTAGAAATTCTATTTTACAGAACTGCAATCCGTATTCTAACTAGCATTGTAACTCTGACGGATTTTATTCTTTCATTATTTGTAACAGCTACATAATAATGTACTACTACATGAACCTGCAAAAGAAATTCCAACCAGCAAAAATGTTTACACCACAATGAGATTCAAACCCGGGTCCTTTGAGACAACAACCCAGGCACGTTTCTACTAAATCACCACTCGCAAAGCTACACTCATATTTCCCAACACTTACAGAAATAGTGGTTTCTTGCTTTATTTCTAACTTATGTGATTTTTGAATATTCAGATAGTTCAACAAACATTATAACTGCATCACATTTTTAAGTATCGTTTATTCAATCCAAGAAAAAAATTTGGTATATTTTTTGATAAATTAATTGTTTAAAAATGGCCAATATTTCAGGCAAAAATAAGCAAAAATTATTAAATTTTCGAAAAATTGTACATGACCTTATTTTAAGATTCGTCTTTGAACAACAGATTTCATTCACGAAAAAATCTGTATCTTTAATTTTGTAAGATGGCCATGTAAAAAATGTTGAACTTTTGCAACTTCGGAAAATCTAGAGATTTTGACGAAAATGAGTCATGCACCATTTTTTAAAGTGTTCTTTATGCTATCTAAGAACAAAGTTTAATGAAAAATTTGGAACAATTTTTTAGCAAATTTTTAAAACAATTAGTATAATATCCTCAAAATCAATATATCTGTTTCAAAGATGTAGAGCCTCTACTTCATCAATTTTGAAGTAAATAGTGTGAACAGTTTGGACACTAGTGTTGACGGACAGTAAGACAGTAGTTTTCCCGCCAATCAATTTTTCAGTACCAAATACCTATAAAATGTGGATTCTGTCTACTCCTGAAGAGGTAATTTTCTTCATGTAGGATTAAGATTTATCTATTTTTTTCCATAACGGACTTTTTCTGATGAAAAATCACTGGTTTTCACCACAGTATTTCAATTATCCTTCTTTACTTCACAATCATAATAAAGTGAGAAAATAAAAATGCATTACTACTACTTGGCTCGTTTTTCATTGTTGTAGCCAGTTATCCTTTCTCCCTTCCCTTTTTATAACATTCAGTTATATATTTAGTGGCTATTCATTGTTCCCATAGTCCCCCAGTTTCCTTATCATTATGGCAAGTCAATATTTTCTCAGATGGTTAGGAACTATTTGCACTGTTTTCCAGAAAGATATTCTGAAACAGAATGCCTGAACACAATGAATTAAAAGTTAAACAAGAAAAGAACATTAGCCTGATGAAATAACAGGAATTACATCAAAATACAGAATATTTTATCAAGAAGATGAAAATGTACAATCTGTACTACTGTAAATATTCACACTAATAAACTTTCAGTCTGCATTCAACATTATTACACAAACATTCTCATTTAAATTCATGTGTTTTTGTATACACAATTAAGAAAGATGTATAATTTCCTTCCACTCACCTAAGCCATACACTAAAACCAAACAGGTTGATTCTAATCCACTAGGAGCTGTATGAATTCCCTGCACTCTTTGTACTGTTTGGTTGTAATTTATTATTGATTCCGATGGCACAGGTAATTCAGGCATATATGGAATGACTCCTTCCTCTCTCATCTCTGGAGTAACTGTTATTGGTCGTCGTGGATCAACAAACATCCAAGGGAGCTCCAGAACACCACCATTAGCTAGAGCCACTGGGAAACAAATAATGAATAATGAATAATAATAATAATAATAATAATAATAATAATAATAATAATAATAATAATAATAACAACAACAACAACAAAATTGATGTAGAAAATGAGTGAATTTCTGCACAATCTTAAGAATCCCTTTAAACTTTTTGACTTTTTGATTTCCTACGTTTCTCAAAGAAAAACAAATCACTTTTCTCGGTCAATAACACACATATTATAGAAAACTATTTTCTACAAATACTACTTTAGTTCTATGAAACTCCTCTGAATAATATTTTTATAATGTCACTTTCAGTCATCCTGAACTCCTGAGTTCAAAATTAGCAAACCAAAGCAATCTTAACATAATATACAAATTTACCATTACATATTTTAACTTATTTCGAACTATATTACAAATTTTACATACTTTGCAAAATTTTGATTATTCTGCCAATTTTCTTATTTCCTGATAATGAAGTATACAACAGATGATTTTGCTACACTTAACTACAACTAAAATACTTTCTGTCACTTATCACAGACAGTATTTTTATTTCTCATACAATACAATGACATAAGGGAGTCTCTCTCAAACCTTCTATGCAGGATATCATCTCCAGACTTCATTACCTTTGGATTTTATTTGCGGTGTGCCTCTATTAATAAAATTTTGGAATTTCCTTCCTTTCATGTGTTGGTCTCTGTATGGCATTGACTATGAATCTACATTTGTGGTGTGGAGTCTAGGAATGTGCAGCCCAGTATCTGTTCTTTGCAGTAAAAGCACTCATAATAGGCTTACACCTGTTAACACAGCCACTTTTCACCAAGGCTCTCACTACATCTGCTAAGTATTGAATTCATTTTAAACACCATGTAGAAAGGTTAAGACACCACCTCTCTTAAAGACGACATTTTTCTAGAATTGGTTATTTATGAAGTTCCACTGTGTTTTGAGATCATTACTTAATTAATCATAATTAATTTATTAAATTTTCAATGTGAAATATTTTTTGTTATTTTGTGTTTGTGTGATCCAAGATTTTTTAATTTTTTTTTTATATATTTCCTTTTTTTTACACTTCACAATAAATGTTTCACCTAGAATATGTTTGCTGGTTATTCCTTTTTCAGTTATTGTCTCTTTCATTGCAACAATATTTCCAGGAAGAATGTATGCTTGCTGATCTACAATAGGTTGAATTGGAGAGGCCACAGATGAAAATGCTACACAAAAAAGACATAAGATTTATAACCAATGTAACATAGTTCACAAGAAATTCTAAATATTTTTGAGAATCTCTGAAAACTAACTTTAATACTTGACATGCAACAGAACATTTTTAACAAGAAAATCTCACCTGTAGTATTACTCTGCACCTTGCCTTCATATAATTCCAGAGTCACAATCTCTGTTCGTCGAGACTTATCACTGAAATAACTGTACAACACCCAGTTCTCCGAATGAACAATGTGAACAGGTTCTCTTGCTTTTTTATGCGATATTGAAAACACAACCGATCCTGACACAACATCTACCAAGTACAGGTTAAGAAAATCTGTAAACAGATATTCAATCAAAAAAATAATGTCACAAGAAATTATTTTACATTAAATTTTTTTAAAAAGTTCATTACAGCAAAGCCCTACTTTTACATTCCATAAATTACTGTTTCCTTCTATTAACAGGCTTACCCATCCCTTCAATTTTCCCATGTTTTCAATGTACAACTGTCTCCACTTTTACTCTTTTAAAATTAAAATACCTTTTTCCCTTGAATACAAACACAAAGGATAAAATGGTTATTAATTTTGTATGTTTGTTTGTTCCACTTCATCCTAAAAATACTTGAATACTTATGATCAGGAATGTCAGTATTACTCAATTCTGTCCTTGGCTAAGTGTTACCAATTTAATATTTTCAAAATGAGGGGGAAATTATTAAAGAGTTGCAAACACATTCATTTTTTTTAAGAATTCATGTACACACCTGTGGTAAAACAAGGCTAGGTGAGTAACAATGCAGTGAGTCTACCATTCTGCAATGCCTGGTTGAAAGTGGTGATTTTTTGGTTCCTTTACCATTCAATTTCAGATTATCTTGTTAAAACAATCACAGATAGTGAGCACCATTATTTCTACACCATTTCTCTTTCTCTTACAGGCATGTTTACTTGATAGTCACTACTCTAGTTACTTGCTTTTTGGATTCAGTAATGTGTTCTAGGGTTCATTTAATATTCAATGGTTACAATAGGAGTCTTTATATTCTAGCAAGAACCTATTCGTGTTACAACAGCACGCACTTTCTTGCATTAATTTCTAAATTTTTCAATTTTTGAAATTTCAAAGAGTTCAATGAAGCCAAGACCTTTGCCATTTTTTAGTGTTTTTTACTTTCTCCAAGGAAAAAATTTAAAGACAAATTTGAAGTCACTTTAGAGAAAAATGTATCAATTACCTTTACTTCAAGTAAAAATTCCAAGAAAGTTACTTGTTTTTTTTTAAAGAATTGTTCAGGAACTGGTTTAAATATCTAATTATTTAGAACAGCATTCATTTTGGAAAAATATCTCTATCACCTATATTGTACTTTTGTAATATTAATGTTTATCAATTTTCAAAAGTGCAGTTTGCTGAAATTGCTGTTCCTTTAAGTGTTCTTTGCTCTGACCAGGTAAAAAATTTTAAGAAAGAAATTGGGACTATTTTTAGAAAAGACTTGCTTAAAAATTGTTTAAATTTCAGGCAAAATTACATGAAAACTTCTCATATTTTTGAAACATTGTACTATATATTCTATTACTGTATAGTTTTATTACTTATATAATAATAAAAAATTGTTTTTATTTATGATCCACCTTTGAAGATCAGATTTTATTAAAGGGAAAAAAAAAGCTCTCTAATATTGTAGTTGTAGAAAGTCACTGAATAATTTTCGCTAGTTTTGAAAATTAAGACATTTTAACCAAAATTAGATCTGCATTACTTTCTTAAGTGTCCTTTACATTTTCCGATGACTAAGTTTAATAAAAGCATTTGGAGTCATTTTTGAGAAACTTTTGAAAAGGTTTTCAAGGTCTCATGTGAAGTACCCCCCCCCCCCAAACAAAGTATCTGTCCCAAAAGGTGAAGGGTCTAAAGTTCAGCCAGATTGATTAGGGAATATTGAGTGAATGGTTCAGATGCTTGACCATGGATGGGTGGATGGAAGTTTTGCCAATTTTTCAGTATCCAGAACCCACAAAACATGGATTCTGACAACACAATGTATTAAAGGAAGTAATTTTCTACATATAGGAACAAGATATCTACTTTTTCCAAGATGAGGGGAGCTCAATACAAGTTTTTTGATGAAAAAAAAATGGTACTTTTTGCTGCAGCATACAATACTTACTCTTTAACATTTTACAACTTTTACAATACTTTCTCTTAACTACATAGTAAGTATTTAGTATGGTGAGACAGTACAAAATAGAAAACAACAAAATTAGTGTATTTTGAAGTTCAAGGTCTAAGAAGCCCAATGACTTTTCATTAAAGGTTAATAGTGGACCAGAAATACTTAGCTATTTACACTTACACTTCACATACTACTGGTCACGTGATTGTTATTCATGTTTTATGCTACACTCTGAAAAAATTTTAATAGATGAAAGACTTTCTCGGAAGGATGGGTTTGTTCTATGTCCTGGCTTGGAAATGGTTATCAAGAATTTTATTGTTAAAACATTCTCCTTCAAGTTTGGGCATGTATTCACTACGACAGTCTTGGAGAAATCCGATTTACTCGTTCGAGATAATTCAAGTAATAATTCTGGCCAATATTTCACAATTTCAGAGGCAGAATATGCCGCGAAAACATGCTTATTGCTTGAGGGTGTGGCAGGTTGTATGGAGCTTCTGTTCAGGGGTAAATAAGTCCGCATAAAGAAATAAAATAATGAACAACACTCCCATTTTTTGTCTTTGTAAAACAGACCTATGCACATTCCCGTTGTACTATACGTATATGCTTTGCGCAATTACAAGCAATAAGTAGACGAAGTTTTATTGAAATCAGATGTACGGTACGGCAGCAATAACGTACAATGATGAATGATACAGCAGCAAACATGAACGAACAAATATTAATTTTTATGTATTAGATAAATATAGACTTAATAATAGAGAATTCATGTATGGTATTTTAGAAAATTGGCAAAAGTAATGTTCCAACATTTACATATTCTTGCGATGAACACAGTTTTTTCTCAGATACTTGAAATGGGCAAAAGAAGGGACTATACTGAATGTTAAAGCAAAATTATAAATAACTCTTAATAGTTTAATATGTACAGTTATACAAAATGAGTTTGTAGGCAAGTTTAAGTGAATCATATTTCTGTGAATTTTGCTTTTAACCAATGCTTTGTACTCACTCTTATGGACAGGATCAAAGCCTTGAGTAACAACTGCAACCAAATTTGGGTTGATGTACTTGTAAAGAACACTACGATCACCTAACACTCGTCCTTGTGAATGGACTCTCTCTACAGGACTTTTGCTTACTACAGCTGTCAGTCTTTGATTTCCTTGAGTTAATTTCACTTCCCAAACTCTTGTTGCTTCTAATTTCTGAAACATTTGCATTAGAAAAAGCATTAGCAGAGTTGTGAAAATGTCAAAGAATAAACTTTTTTTTACAGAAAACTGCACCTCTTTTGCTTCAAAAATAAAACAGAATTTACATTTTTTGATAAGGTGATCATTCAAATATAACACTCAAAAAGTTGTGCTTTAAAAACATTAGCAGAAAACTATTTCTCCACGAAGCTGATGAAATAGTTACACGAAACAATGGGTTTGGCCAAGTTGGTGTTTGATTGAAGTCTCACCTGGCTATTACTGAACAACAAAGAATAACCAGCAAGAATGCCAGTGTTTTTGTCAGCTGTAAATATAAATGTAGATCCAGCAGATTTAACAGCAACACTGTGAGCACTTGAAGGAAGCACATGAAGCTGTTCTTTCTGATCAAGTAAGAGTATTCCTCTCAGAAAATTGTCATCTGTAAATGCCAAAAGCATAGACTGTTGAATTTGGTATCCCAGTAGTGTAACACTTTCTGATCCCGCTGGTTGACCCGTAATGGGATTGAAAGTGAATATAACTCCTTCTCCAGAAACCTAAAAGGAAGGCAATTGAGAGTTACACAAGTTTATAAGAGAAACACACAAATCACATGCTGTATTTCAGTTGGAGAACACTTGTTACAATAATTAGGTAATATAGTTTCTTGATTTACTTCTTGAAAATGACATTCAATGCTGGCTTAATAATTAATTTAAGATCAGGGATCATCCATAAATTATGTAACTTTAAAGAGGGGTGCAGGGTGGGGGGTTCAGGCAATGTGATATTGCATTACATAGGGGTAGGAGGCATGTTATTTAATTCTGATTTTTATTATTTCAGTTTTATCAGTATTTGCAGAAAAAGTCAGGCTTAAAACTACAACGAGACATTAAAAGATTAAAAAAGTAAATGTTTACATCTAAAATTTATGATTCATAAATTGTTATTACAAAGGGAAATACTTTTTCATTTATCAGTGTTATTAAATTTGATAGATTATAAAGGAAATATTCAAAACTTATCTTTAATATAGTCAATATTCGAATTTAATTAGTTCTGGATATTCCCATTCATGCTTAATCCAAGACAGCATCTACCAGGCTTATTGGCCAATATTTTTTCACTTTCGAGTCCCTCCTTCCCTACAAAATTCTCCGCAAACTTTAATGTTAGATGCAGCCCTCATCATCAATTTTGAGTCAGTAACATTTCGGTTTTATTTGGCAGGCATAATTAAATGAATTTAAATTCAGTTAGTAATAATAATTAAATTGCCTTAATTTTCTCAATTACATGTGATAGTATTTCAAAAACAAGATGTTATTAACCACCTTTACTGCATGCTGTACGTCTTGCTTCGTGAGTGCCACACACACTTCTTTATTCACTCAATGTTAAACAAAACTAAATTCCATAATTATTTAAAGCAAAGTTGTCAACTGACAAGAAAAAAACTCAAATATACTACTTTAAGTGTACAAAAGTAAGCATCTGTTTCTTATGTTCATTAAATGTTGAACTTCTTTAATAATTATGAATTTTAATAAATCATGCAAATCAATACAAATTGCTATAAAATGTATTTTTATGTTTTATAAAGGGATGCAATACGTAATTATTTAAGGGGGTTAAAGCTCACATTACAGTAGCATGCATTACTGTAGGGACAGGGACAGCACCCCATATGCTCCAAATTTTTGTTACATTATTTATGGATGGCTTTACACTTTATTCAGTGCTATACAAATTTTGATCAAATCATTACACAAAATTAAAAATTAAAAATTGAGAATAAAGAAATTACATATTTACAAGAATTGAAACCTGCCATACAAAGTCAACTATGACAAAGCATCATCCTCTATTTTATTCTTTGTACATTAAAATCACAAAAAATACTGCATTATTCAAACAACAATTACTGTTTAAATTCAAAATGTCTGAGAATTGAACACAAACATTTGTATTGGTACTTAAAAAACCTAAGAAAGTATGCATGTAAATATTCATACCTTGTGCCGGGCTAAAAGAGCACATTGGGCCGGATGAGGAAAATGTCTTGTAGTTCTTTGTACATACAAAATCATCTGATTCTGGCTGGAATAACTGGCAACATTTTCAAGACGTCTTCGCCAAACAATTTCTCCACTCAAATTGTCAATACCAAAAAGCTACAACATTCCATATTTTGGAAAAAAAACAATGTATTATTTAGGCCCATAACATTTTGGCAACAATAAAAATTACAGAGCTAATGTGTAATACTTTATTTACTTATATTTTTCATTCTACGTATCAATACTAAAGTCTCAAAATATTAAGTATACTGAACTGTGATACCAATCGAAGGAAGTTACTGAATTTATAAATAGGAGTGGTGACAAATAAATAATATGGATATACCATTACATATCAGCCTGCAAAAATTGTGTTTCACAGGTTGAAACCATCATTGACGTGCATCAACCCAAATTGTACAAATACTGTACCATCAATAACATCAATGTTAAATAATTCACAGAAGACAATACTGCTTTCCATCATAAAAATAATAATGCACAAACTTAAACTTAACTTTTAAGGAAACTTTCATGAAAAGGTACTTTCTTCCTCTTAAAAAATAAATCCTATGTAATTTATTTTCATCTATTAACAAGATATTAAACACAACAATATTCTTAAGTGAAATGTCATATTTTACCTTTCCAACACCAGTGGCTATTACAATCATTTTATGCAGGCCAAATTCATCACGGACCAATCCAGCTCTCTGTCCAGCTGATGGAGGATCTCCCAAGCCCAAAATTGAAAGAATGAGTAGGCGTAATTGAAGAGTTTGACTCAGAAGACGATGTGTAAACATGCCACCAAATCCAGCTAAACAATAACATATAATACTATTAGTGAATGAAATTCTGTGGCTAGCAAACACTAAATTACTTACATAATGGCAGACAAATGTCAGTGTAATAATCTCTTCCACAATTAGACCTAATTCAAATATCTTTTCTGAACACAAACCAAACACATACTACCTAATTTCCATTTCCAAAATTTTAACAATATTTTTAAAAAAATATTATTGCATGCTAAGATAAAGTTATACAGAAATATGATTTATTTATACGAAATATCTATCTTGTAATAATGAGTGCATTCAATAAATATATTGCAGGACAGTTAACAGATTATATTGCTGTGCAACATTGAATCAAAGGGTCAGATTTCTTCAATCAAAAATAGCCAACAAGACTTCAATTTTTAACTAATTACTTGAAAACTACGTTTTTTCTTTCGCAATAATATTAGGAACTACCACTGCTGTAAGTGTTGTACTGTTTAATGGAGAAATAATCATGAATGCAGAAAGTGCTTTATTACCAAGGGACACAGTCTCTATTCAATATAAACATAATGTAACATATACAATATTCATCATCTTGTGCACATGCTTTTAACATTTAAAAATGAAGAAAATATATTTAAGTGTGTTACAAGAGAAATAGAGCCAAACAATCTTAATCGCCAAGCCAACCATATAGTAAAACAATTTAATTTAGAGTTTAGTGGTGTACTGATGAGTTTGTCCTTACACTATGTCAGACTACCTCACATCACTGAACTTCTTGAATTAAAATTGAGTATAGACAAGAATAATTGACACAAGGAATATTTAATCTTTTAACATTAATGTGCACTTTATCATTTCAAAATAAGTAAAATGTTGATTTACATCCAGCTACCTAAGAAAATTATTCCTATGTGGGATGATTCAAAATTGCCTTCAAACCTCAGTCTTTCAGAAGTCATAGGCACAATGACATGATGTCATGTATATTTATGTTTTTTGTGAAAGTGTAAATGTATTGTAACCAGTAAAGAAAAATCACCTGTCCCATAGTGACAAAACTTTTGATGCACACAACACATTCAGAGGCCACCCGTACAGCACTTCGGGTAACCTTTCTTGTACCAAAGCTGTAACTCTGAAGAAACTGCAAAAATGACCCCCTTAGCATTGACCATGCATTTTAATTCCACTTATTTTAATGGAATCACTTGGAATGTAAAGTCTCTAATGACATATTATAAATTATAATGGGGAAACACAATTTCAATATATTAAAGTGAAGGATCCATTCTATTGTATTGTAAGGTAGTGTTTCATAAGCCTCTTAGAATTTGCCTTTGATAATTTCAAAACAAAAAATATTTCCAAACTATTTTTTTTTTTTAGGAACAACATTATTGTGTATGACAGAAGCTCCACCCCATACGTCCAAATGCAATATTGAATCACCTGATATTAACTGGATCACACCAATGGAGATCAGTGTAGATTCTGACTTTATCTTTTGATATAATTCGTTTTCTTTTCTCTCTCTCTCCCCCCGCCCCCCCAAGAATTATATGAAAAGGAAGATTCTGCTGATCAAATTAATATTTAAAACAATTGAACACTACAAATGCAACAACATACCCCAGTCTTTCCCACAGTCTTTGTTTTATATACTCAGTCATGGCAGTAATACAGGTAGCAGTGACAGAGAGGATCCCACCTCTTGAAAGGGGACCGCATCTTCTGAAGGGGCCTGATTGATGAAGTGAGCAACATCTATCATGGTGATCTCATTTACTGAGACCTCCCAATCACATTTACTCAAGCCCTCATGGCTTTATGACACCGGAATTACGCCCCCCCCCCCCATCTTATTCCAGCCTATTTGGCCTTGAGGAAGAACTAGCATCAATTGAAAGACAGTGAGAGAGCCTGGAGATCTGTTCATGAAGTTAGCACAAGGTGAAAATCTCTGCCACTATCCATTCCATTTCTCAAACTAACATTGTGCCACTCAAGCTACAGCTCTGTTTATACAATAAGAATCGAAGACACAACTACTGTCTGTGAACCAAACATTAAAGAGACTTCATTTTGTACAAGTGAGAATCATGGATACTAAATAATAACAATAAAATACTATTTCTTAGCTAGTATTATGAATTGTTCAGAAACATTTTGGAAAGATGAAAGGAAAAATGAGACAAATTAGAAAAGTTAAGATGCGAGACATACCTAAAACTTTCATATTAGTTTTGTGAAGTGTTAGGAAGTTTCTTTTGATTTTAAAACTGTCACTTTTCCACTCATTAATAAACAAAGTTATCAAAATTAACTAACCTTACAGAAAATGTAGAAGAATATAACAATTAGATATTTTTTCAATTAACATGAAAATTTAGATTTCTTCCCTATAATATTAATACTGTGTTTAAAAAAATATTTAATTTTTACTTTCTCATTTTTTCAGTTCCAGACAAAATGTTTAAAGAAAAAAAGTAGAGTCATTTTTTAAAAACATTTTAAAAGTATCCCACAAGCTTCATTTGAAGATCCCCAAAAAATTGAAGTATCTTAAACATCTTTTGAACACCACTAAAATACCTTACTGTTGACAAGTCAAAGCTCAAAAGCTTCTATTTTACCCGAGTTCTGTGTGATATTTTCATCTGTCTAAACCCCTACATCCATCCATCCATCCATCCATCCACCCACCCACATATAAAGTAAAATGAATTAAAAGAACTCTACAAGCAAGCCATCCATCAGAAAAAAAAATAATGTAAAGATTGAATTACACTGCGAGAATAGAAGAAAATACATTGCTTTCAGAAGCATTGAAAGGCCATCTAGGTAGAAGACCACACAAGAGGGAAAGAAAAACAATTAACAAAATTTTAATTCCGATTTCTTATAAAAAGACAAGTTGTGGAGTAAATATACAAACGTCACGATACTTTTTAACTGGCTTTAGATCGATATATCAATATGGTAAGTTACTTGTGTTCAAAAGGTACTAGCAAAATCCCCAGCACAAAAGAATCTATTACTTCTGCAATTCCTTGTGTCCTCAGCCCAAAAAAATATTTTTACATATAAAATCCTAGTCTTCTTACACAACATATTGATAAACATGTAGTATAAAAAAGGGGGAAAATGCAAGAAATTACAAAAGAATTTTAAATAAAACATTACAATTTTGTAGTTGAAAGAAACCACATGAGCGTACGTAAAAGAAACAAAATTTACAGTGTGCAAAAAGTATATGAAACAATGCATGGTTATTCCATACTTCTATACTTAAAATATTTTAACAGATGTTATGCTTTACACCATCTATGAGTAAATAAAATTCACACAGAAATATACATATGCATATCGACTGAACTAAATCAAATGAAATTCAAGGGAGTCACACACAGAATGCATTAGCATGCAACCATTCTCTAACATAAATTTCTTCTTCCACACAATTAAATATCTAACAAAAACAAAATTGTTCAAACACAAGAGAAAGAAACACAAGCAAATGCTCTGTAGCACAGAAATATAACGTGCAGTTTATACGTTCATACTTACAGGACACTCCTAAATCCACTGCTCACCATGAAACAACAAAAATAAACAGAACATTGCTGTTGTACATTATACTGTTGTAAAAAAAAACTTACTGCTTTTTCTCACCAATTTTAATTCAGCATCTTTTCTAAATACACATTTGTTTTTACACCCTTACAATAATTAATCAACCACAAAATAAAAATGAACTTACCAATCAAAACTGTTCTAATAAATTTACAAAAATATGTAATAGTCCCATGACTTGTGAGAACCAATTACGTCCAATAGTCAATTGTAGATTTAATCAATGTACATTTAATTAATGAAACAATGTATATGAATTTCTTCCACAGCTTACTTTCACAAGAAATTTGATTTCTAAATACTGAATGTAACATAAAAATTCAAACTCGTACAAAAGGTGTTCTAATAAAAATTTAGCAGCCCAAATATTTTTATGAAATTATTATCTGGTACTTTTGGAGGCTCATGCAGGAGGCAATTTTTTTTTTATTGTAGCATTAACATGCTACTACTCAATTGGTCCAAGCCAAAAAACAGTAACCAACATTCTTTAAAGAAATGTATTATTTGCACTATTGCAACAACCATGGACTATTGCACAAAGGGACACCTGCAAACCCAACTTACTAGGGAATATTTTTAGTAGGTACAATGATTTCTCTAACTTAAAAGCCAGAATCCTCTCCCTTCAGGTCAAAGATTTATACTGAAATTTATTTCTTTCAAAATAAATGTTTTTTCACTTACTGAATTTCTCCATGGAGCCGCTGAGTAGTCGCATGTTTATGTTACAATTTAAAAAATGCTATTTAAATATTTTTAGTTAAGCTTGCATATCCAATGTATTGTATGCTTGTTTCATTATTCAATTACTCATGTAAGTCATAAACATGTAATGTTTTTCTTGCCTTAACTGCAAATCACATTCAAAAGAATAACCTATAAATATGTACCGCAGACCTGGTAGTTTACTCCATGTTGCTACCATTTGTGCAAACTATTATATAATCCACAGAAATACCTAAAATTCCACATCAGAATGGAATTATTTGAGAACACTGCATTCATCAAGCAACAAAAAGGATCCAATCAAAAGGTGTAAAAACAAGGTTCACTGTATCAAATTTGCAATACCAGATATGCCCTAAAACTCAATAACATATCTTGGATAGGAATAGTGGGACGTCCTCCAGATATTAACCATTGCAATCCTCTCAATGAAAAGATAACAGCACTCAAATCATGCAGCAATGGGTTTCCAAATTCCTTATATTGCTGACATATTTTGGTTTAAATCAGGTCAACAAAAGAAACAACTTAAGCCTGGAAAGAACAAAATTGCCGTAGATTTTTTGGCCCTTAATTATTGCTTACATAACTTTGTTTCCTTCAGTGCATGTTCTGTTAAAAACCAATACATCCACTTTCTTTCCATAACAATTATGAAATAAAATTTCATTCAAAAAATTTGAAAATGCATGCATGGGGGCATTTACAATAAATTCTGTTCCCTCCTCCTTACTTACTGTTGGTTGTTTCATCATTACTCACTCTTGGGGAAACCGACCCTAAGCAAGATAGCAAAAGGTTAATAAATTAGGTAACCTAAAATGAAAATATTGCAGGCTCATCCAAATAGCTTAATAGTCAATTTAACCTGTAAAGTGGGTGCCACAATTAAAATGAACTTAACTGTTAGGCAAAGCTAATTACTTGTTCTCATCATAACATGGGAGTGACATGCTCTTTATTATTCTAGTGATAATTAACAATATTTCAAACAATCACTCTACTCTGAGACCAGAACTTTAGACACTATAAATATCTAATAGTTTAGACATTTATAATGCCAAAAGTTCTAATAGGCAAGTTAAAAGGCACTTAAAACTACAAAAATAGGAAAAAAAGACAAAAGAAAATAAATTATTTTTAATAATGAATCAATGATTACGACTGGCCATTTCTCAAATTCATCCACAAATTTCAATAATTTGACTGCCTCTTTCTCTAAGTCAAGTAATGACATCTGGTAAATGGGCCATAATAAAAATTAGGTCATTTATTATTTCTAAAGAATCAAGAAATTTCGTTCCTAATCCGACAGATGATGCTTTGCCATAAAGTGTTGACCACAGCAGTATTCTTGAATAAATTGGAAGAGGAGTTATCAGCCACTGGAATCCATATTCCTCAACTCAAGACAGGTCAAGGAGGCAGGGACAAATCTGGATTTTTGATGGACATTTCAAAAACATCTTAATGTTTGCATTCAATTTGTCCACCTCTGGAAATAAACATGTCAATGTTTTTGCCCCTCTATGATGGTATGCACAATCTATGCAAGTCATACAAAATATAATCAAGAACAAAACCTTCCAAGCTTTTGTGGCTCTTTTCACATATGTGGCTGTATCGGTTAAACAAAACAACCATATTGTCATGATGAATTTCATGGGGTCTTTTTAACTAAAATGAACTTGATAATAACTGAAACAGTTGAGCTATTGACTTTCTCTAAACATTCAATGGTGACCAAAACCAACTTCATTGATTAGTTTTCTAAAGAAGAATTTACAGGACCAATGATGATATTAACTAGAAAACAACTTGAGGCATTAGTTGCCTCATCAATAGAAATTCAAATATTCATATTTTTAGTTTCTTTGAATTTGTCTTATCATTTAATTGTAACACTGGGTAACATTTGCACAAAGTTAATTCTTCACAAAGATTCTTTCATGTATTTTTTCAAAATATATTTGAATGTTGGATTTTCTAACTTCTCTCCACCGCAATGTTTGTTTTGAGAAGATAGCAGAGAACAGAAATTGCCAGGATTTGACAGTACATGGTAAAGTAAAACAATCATTGACCAATATCGGTGGCAGAGAATTCCCCCCCCCTCCCCCCATGAAATCTGATATTTTTGACTTAGAAGTGAGAGAAAACATTTCACTCTCCACTGTTTTTGAAACTGTTTACTTTTAAAATGAACTAATTAAATTTCTCTAAAAGAAGCTCAACACACAAATATAGTCAAAAATAGGATTTTTAAAACAAGACATTTACAGCAAAATGGAGAAGAAAAATAAGGCATTAATTCAATTCAAGAAAGGCAAAACAGAAAATTGTCATTGCAACCACATAGAAGTAAATTGCTGAGATTCATTCTAAAAATCTAGTTAACTTGTATGTCAAAAAGACACATTTTGCCTAGGTTTCAGTCTCCACTGATAATTATTGATCTAGATTCAGCAATCACAGCCAGATTTGTCTCTGCCAAACTCCACTCCATTATCTTCCAATGACTAATTGTTGTATACTGTAAGCTATTTTTTGCTGCAGTTTCACCCTGACATCATGGATAACTTGTACAATTACAGAGGAATATGTTTCCTGAATTGCAAATCCCAGGCACTGATCTAATTTCATTGCTACTTAGCTAACAATGGTTTTAAATGGTGTTTCGTCCAAAGAATTTAACCATTTTTTGCTCTCTCATAGAGCATTCTGTAGAAAAACCACTGTCAATGACCATCTGCCATCTAGTAGAGGACACTCAAGCACTTTTTGCACCCAGTTGCCTCTGGTCAAGCACTGGCAACTGTTCACGTTTGCTCCCTCATTCCACATGCTGCCACTATTCAAATATCTCACCTGGGGCAACTTTCCCAAGTATGAATGAATGTGCCTGAATTATTTAACAAATTCTGCCTTTAATGTTGGAAATGGCCTTTTTAGCAGCTTTTTTTTTACATAAAAATTCTGAAAATAAATTGCATCTCTCTGCTGAGTAATTCCTGTGGATACCCTTCACTAGATCCTATAGGATGAATACAAGCACTTTTCCAATGAAATAATGTGTAATAATATTTCTTCATTCGATATTTTAGTTCCTTTAGGTACTTCATTAGCTCAAATATCTTTCAAAGTAAATATGCAAATCATCGACCATTTATTTTCTTAAATATATTTCTTTTTGTACTTTTTTAAGTTTTACAACTAAATTATGATTTATATAAAACACAATAAAATCAGTAATTTTTACAAGGCAAATTCTTATAATAAATATTGTTTACTTATTCATAGAGATATCTTCATCTTCATTGCAATATTTATAATTTTGTCTGGTACAGTGTGGTTTCAATCCTATTTCCTCACAGCTAATTTGATTACTTGGTGAATGTGAACAAAGAATGTGATGCTGTAAGGAGAAATTGAGTGAGTTCAAAAGACTTCAGAATTTCCACAATCCTCTGAAAGCTCTAAGAGTGAAGAACCTCATGCAGCACTGGGCACCAACCAGCCAATGGGAATCGATGACTGTCACTAGTCTGATGGCTTCTGAGATACATAATAGTGGCATGAGCAGCAATTGCCTTTTCGGACCTACTTTGCATGCTCACCAGGTAGACCACAAGTGACAGTAGACCATTTTTTTGCCAAATGCAAAGCTCTAATCTCTCAACAAAATTAATCATATTAATAATGGAAAAAATATTTCATAATGTGAATTGTTTCGCAATGTCAATTCACCTACTAACATTTTTTCTCAAATAATAAAAGTGAAAGGTAATATCACGTAACTTACTTTCTTTGTGATCAAATTCCTTTTCTATAGCAGCTTCTGTGTCTGACACAGGAAGATCTAACATCTCAACAGCAACAACAGATGCCAATGCTTCTTCACGAACCCATATAAGTTTTCCTATATAATCACAAAATTGTTTAAACATTCATTTTAATAATTTATTATTAAGCAGACCTCATCACTCTCAGAATTTTTCTCTACCTGGATAATGAAACATTCCAACAGCATGATCTGTGGTACTAAAGAGCACTCTGCAGCCTAAACCTTTATCCTTTCGGGGAGTGCAAACAGCCGCAGCTGCTGTGGGTGGACCCAAGCGATCATGAGGATATTTCAAACTCGAAGTAACATCAGGAATAGGTTCACCAGTCAAAAGATTTGATGTCAGTACATCAAGCCACTGAAAACAGTAATACAAAATTGTTAACAACACAATCTAACAGACATCCACAAATAGCATATCGTTATAATCCCCACATAATCTTTCAATATGAGTCATAATGACTGAGGCTCCTTGAAGACTTAACAAAGTAGGTCAATTTTATTGTAGAACTTCAGAATTTATGACTGTACATGTCAGAAAACTAGCTATACTTCTTGTTATCGAAAATAAGATTGAAAAGATGCTCAAAATGGAGTGTTATTTGGTTGGTATTGTTTAAAAATCTGCACCTCGGAAGTGAGGAAACTGAAAATGTTCTAAGTAATAGCCTTCAACCTTCAAAAATACTTTTGTTTAAAAGGATAGTGAAGTTCATATTTCCCATTATTTTTTAAAAACTTTTTAATCAACACTTCTCACGTACTGAATTTCAAATAAAACAAGAAGAAAATCTCCGCTGTTTATCCGAATAGCATTGTCACACCAAATATTTGTTGTGTATAAAGTTACACATTCCTGCATCATAAGTGAGAATTAAAATAATTTTAATTCCACAATTTTTATCAATATTGAAGTCAAAAAACTTGTGGAAACAAAAACTTAACATTTCTTTAACAAAATTTCCCCAAAACCTACATTCGTCTAGCAGTATATTACCTCATTTGTGTATAACAACTGTAGTAAAATATTGCTTTCCCTGAGAGAATCTTGCACAAGTTTGGCACTTCTTTCAACTTGATATGGAAGTACTCTCGATCCAGTTTCTTCGATAAGAAATAGGTATTTAACTTTACTTCCAGAAGATGTTACAGATACTAATGGTTGACTTCCATGAACAGATTCTAAGGTAACTTCAGTATTTTCTATCAAAGGTTTCAGAGGCTTGCTCACAGGTTTGCTGTTGATAGCAGTTATGGATACTGTGTGCAAGATTGGATTACCACCAACACTCTCTATGCAAGCTATATAAGGAGCTGCAACAACACAACTAAAACAAACACAAGGAATAGAGATCAATAATTAATCAAACAGTAATTTGGGAAGTGAGCAAAATTAAAAATTAATAGGCCTGGATTTATCTTCCTTTTTCACCAGTTACATTGAAATGTTCTATTAATGCTCTTTACAAATTCTGTAAGTTTATACTACTGTACAGAAATAGTATTTAGGAGTGACTAAAATGTGTAAAAGATGAGAATAGTGAACAGCTTGCACTTGGATACCATATGAAGTAGTAGGTTGTTGTGCCAAAACAATGATTTCTTTCCAAATCTTTCTTAAGATTACATTCTCCTCATCAAAATTTATTTTGCAAAACACCTTTTATGTAAATAATAATGAATTGCAAAATGAAAATATGATGAAAGATGTGGAAACAATTATTAAAGGTAAACTGTTTTGCTAAACATTACTAAAATTATAATACAAAAATTAAGCTTTAAAAAGAGTATAACAAAAATTTAAATCAGCATGGACATTTAAAAACTACACATTTCTCTTATGAAATCAACACTCATGTATGCTTCTTCAGTATGGACACCATATTATAGAACTTGCACAGATAAAACAAAACTAGGACAGCATACATTTTTTCACAGGAAGCTCACAACCTGAATTTTCCTGATATTTTTGAATCACAATTTCCATGATTAATCAAAATAGCTAGATAACTGCAAAGGCTTCTGCAGCTTGAGTCAGTATCTATTTGGCTATCTTGGAGATGCCTTGGCGTCTATGTCTAAGTCACAGCATATTCCGGATGGCCAAGTTGATAACAAAATAGTAGGATAAACCACCACTATAATTATCATCTAAAGAAACAGTCTAAATTTTATTTCATTAAAGAGAAACTTAATTGGCCACAATTACTAAACAATACAGATATATACATTACAAAAATGGACATGAGAACAATAACAGCACATCAAGCTACATAAGTCTATGTATAAATACACCCTACCTTTGAGCAGAATGTGTAGGTTAGCTAATGAACTTGATGAAGGACTTTTTCACTTAAAATATAACATACTCTGGCAAATTAATCAGTGAAGTGTACAGCTAAAAACTGAAAAAGGGCTTCAGTTACATTGCCCAATTAAATCACACTAGCCACAAGGTATGAAAAATGGATGAATGGATAAAGCTGTATGAATGACCATGAACAAATCATTTTGGGCTACTTCAGGGTAATGTTGGCATCAGGCGTAAAGTACTAGCTAAAGTCAGGTGATTACCTGAGCTTGAGAAGTCTTGTACATTTGAAAAAAGTATTTTGGCGTAAAAACCCATTTTTAATGATCTGTTGCCGAGACTCAAGGTTGTTTTATGAAAATCAAAAAAGGCTCAGGCTAGAGCCTCCAGAGGCATAGCTATGTTCTCAGGGGCCCCTCATAGCCATTGCCATCATTATTGGAGCAGATTCCCTCTTACAGGGCCCTAGACTTCAAGAGCCTTAGTGCCATGCATTGATTGCACCAGCCTAGCTAAGCCTCCGAGTGCTTCATTACCAATACAGAAATGCATAGCAAAGCATCAACTGAAGTATAGCGAGATTAAATTTGGTTGTATTATGAAAATAGGGATTTACAACTGTCACAGTGGAAAACGAAATTATACACCTTGTCATTCAATAGCCTTAGAAACGTCTTCCAGCAGTCTGATCCCTTTTTATCACACATCTGATATTCTGTATCACTAAAACGCACTTCACTGATTCTAGCCAGCTCATGTTAGCTAATTGCATCTGTTTTAAGCCCTATACATGCTTCAAAGCTGTTTCTACTTTGGATTTTATCAACCCATTTTAGTTAATACGTAATCAGCTAATTCAGGAATTAACCAGAATTGCAATTCATCCATGACATAAACACACAAATAATTTTCACTCTATTCATTATATTATGTTTTCTGTAATATTGTTCATCTATTCTAATTCAAAATATACAATTTCCTCCATACAATAAAATTCCAAATGATAATGCAAAGTGGACTAATAGAATGTAAATTTTGAAATAAATCAATAAATAAAAATTTATTACTTACATATCTATACAAAAAAATAAATTAAAAACCACATATTTCCACATACAACCAATATTAAAGAATAAAGGAATCTAAATATCCAGGCCCTTAAAATTCACTTTAATTTTACTTGCAAAGCTAATTACATTAACAATATCATTCACTCTTAATACAAAGAGAAACAACAAAAGAGATCATTAAAAGCTTTGTGTTTTCTTAGAACACTATGCAACATTCAAAATTTCAAGAATACTTAATGAATTCATTTTCCAGAAATACCTACCTTGGCTTTGAAGCAAGAGGAAGAGGAAGTTTGGAACCTTCAAGTGCTTTGCCAGAAGTTAATTCATAAGGTTTCACAATTATTTCAGATCCAAGTGAAATATGATACAGCTTCAATTCTGTATCAGATAAGAACCATTTATTTTCTTCCTCACTGTAAAATCACAAATATTGAGGTATGTAAAAATGCACACGTAATCACACATAATTTATTACTGTTCACAATATTCAATTTTCTCCTCAGAATTTCATTTTTTATTACAGAATTTTTACACTACACAATGTAATTTAATACAATGGAACTCATTTATTATATAATATTATAATTTCTGTTCAAGAGCACAGATTTGAGAAAAAATAAGAATAGCATTAATTATGTATACAAACTTTACTAATGGTACAACAGACTTTCTCAAACTGGTTAGTTTCCTATTCTCAAATCTCCTTTTTGGTTTAGACCCTCTATCTACCTAGCTGTCATCCATTGGCGTATAAAAAAACCACCACGGCCTCGCCAAGTACCTACTACTTCTCTAGACACATTTCCAGTGAAGAGCACCGTTGTACTCCCCATTCATCACATACACTTCTTTAGGTACCATACCTTTACATATTTGCCCATGGCATTCCTTGCTCCCACCTCAGTGCTTGTACCATTGTTCTGTATATGGGAACCAGTTCCTCAACTAAACACAGATAGCCCACAACTGCCAGTCAGGCTAAGAGATTACGGAAGGGATATATTTAAATGTAATAAATAACAGTTTCAAAATATCCCGTGCCTCAACACAACACTATACATTACACCTCAAACCTTCAGCCAAAGTTTCCACAAATTAGCTCACATGCCCCAAGCCCCTGTCTGACGAGCCTGAGCCACATGATCATTTTACTTGCAAGTATGACAAATCCTTGTAATAAAATCTAATAAAACCAATAATCTAAAAACTATCCTTTTTAAGTATAACCTGTATATATTAATTTGATTTATACCACTGAATCCATTCATATCAATAGCTTTGACACCATTTATTTCCACAGCAACAAAGCAAACAAAACTTACTTTAGCATTAAAAATGTTCAACATCAAACTCAGTAATGAACAATTTTCTCAAAAACAACTAACTATACAGAAAATGTAGTAGAACATAACATTTACAGCGCATATCAGTTAACACACACAATGGGTTAGTTTACATTCATGTAATATTTACATTGAGGAAATAAGAGTTTTAACAAAAAACACGTATATTGTTTGTCAGGTTTTTGAACCTATAATAGTAGAATTAAAATATGACTTTAACAGAAGGGTAAAATTTGGTTCAACATGCAAATTGTCCTTGAAATATTTAGAGCCTATTTGAAAAAAATGCCACTTGAGCATTTCCGAAAACACACAATTTTGAGTTAATTTTCACGCAAAAATTCTGATTGTTTGAAAAACTTTAGAGCATTTAGATTAGTAATTTGAAGCACTTGTACTCACAAATGTTTTTATATATATAAATAAAAGGGAATGTGCATATGTCTGTTGCACATAGACACAAAAACTTCTTGACTGAAATTTCACACTTTGATCTTATTGGTATTGGGAGTGTTTAAAGTGTGTTTGAATTAAATTAGATATGTGGGGGAAATGATTTATGCGTTTATGACTCAAGCGCCCCTGAACAAAGCTCTACGCAACCCGCCGCACTGTCAAGTATTAAGTGCTTCTGTCACTACATATTTTGACCCTGCGATTGTGAAATATTAGCCAGAATTTTAACACCCGATATTATTAGAACATTATCACTAGGATGAGGTATTTTATGCCTTGAAATATCTTGAAATATGCTTTTAAAAATGTGCATTTATAACCTCAAAATTCTCAAATATGCAATTAAATTAAAATTAACAATTTTTAATTTCCTTCATTAACCTTTCTAGATAAAATTCAGGAGAAGTGTGCTTAAATGTGTCGTCATAGCAAACGCATGCCCAAACTTGAGAGAGAACATTTTAACAATACCGTACTTGATAACCATTACCAAACCAGAACATAGAACAAAATCAAATGAAAAGATATATTTTTGTGCAAACAGAATATAATCTACCTTACTTCACGGGGTAAATAATTAAAGTAAATAATCACCTTAGTAAAGTACATTGAATGTCTTGTTGCATTTCTTCTGCCTGCTCGTTTAAAAATATATATCATGGAATTTCCTACATTTGCTCAAGTATTTTATTATTTATAGAAAAGGGAAAAAAATATTTTAAAAAATGCAAACTCTGACCAGCTCTTTGTAATCAATGAACGCTCAAATATAAATAGATTGTATAAAAGTTTAAACATTTGAGACAGAGTTCTCTATTTTAATGAAATATGCAAAATATGCCCCCATTATTACACAAATATTCACCAACAGAAAAAATTGGCCAAATATGCATGAACATATTAATCTACATTGCATCCAATTCTATAGACTAAAATTAGCAGAATCATACAAATCTGCTCCCTAGTTATCACAGACAAGCAAAACACATTTCTCCAAGACTTGTCATAGCGAATGCATGCCCAAACTTGAGGGAGAACATTTTAACAATATGATACTTGATAACCACTACCAAACCAGAGCATAGAACAAACCCTTACTCACAAGAAAGTCTTTCATTTATTAAAAGCAGAGCATAGCATTAAATGTGATTAACAATCACATAACAAGTAGTGTGTGAAGTTTAATACTCTATGATAGCAAAGCATAACCAGGTCCACTAGTAATGTATAAAAAATTACTGTAATGTAAATATTAATCATGTGAATGATACTTTAAAACAAAATACACACACATATATACATATATATTCATATAAAAATATAAATCTTTGCAAAAACAAAAGAATGAAGTTAAGGCCATATGTGATGTCTTTTATTTAGTGCATTTAGCACACGCAAAAAGTGAACAGATAAAATTCAGACAGTTTTTTGAAAAAATATTGTTTTAAAATTGGCTATATTGCCCTCAAAGTTAAATGAAAACTACTAACACTTAAAAAAAATGTACATGACATCAATTAAAGATCTAATTATAAAGAACAAATTTAACTTGAAAAAAAATCTCATTAATAAAGTAGTTTGAACAAGGATCCAAAGGATTTCAAACTTCAACAACCGTTAGAAATCCAATGGTAACAATGAAAACAAATCTCTCTTTTTAAGTGTTTTTCACTCTATTCTTACAAGAAATATTTAACAGCCATTTTTGGACAAATTTTGAAAATGTCCCGGGGGCTTCAAGTGAAGTACTGCCAAAATTTAAAGAATTTTTTTCAAAATCACAAATCAATCAGAGAATAGTAAATTTTGGAAAAATACCACGAATAGTTTGGATGTTTGTATTGTTCACAGACAAAAGGCCAGACATCTTCAAAAACAAAACACGTTTTATGAATCAGGTCTTTGTATTTCTTTCTCACCTAACTGGTGCAAAGTGAAGGTTTAAATGACTTCTGTAAGTTCTACCGTGTTCTCTACTTCAGCCAAAATGACAAAATATTTAACTATTATCAGGTAATCCTAGATCATTTCATTTTTACGAATTTTAATTTTACACAAAATTTGGAAACATCCAATTTCTGTTGTCTAAAATTAATTTTGAATCAATAAATTAAATATGAGAATTTTAAGTTCTTCAGAATAGTTGAAAAATTATACTAACCTACTGATGAAAACATGCAATGGAAATGACCAATCCCATAATAAAAATCCACCATTTAAATCCCATCCTCTTACATTGACAGGATTAGTCCCAGACACTGTTATAACTGCATCAGATGTGATATTCATAAAGTGTATTGTTCCTTGCTCTTTCTTCTCTAGTACTTGTCGCCAAATAATATTACCTGAAAGGATAAAATACGTGGTAAAAAACAGTAAGTATTTTTCTCATAAACAATTATCCATAAATAATGCAATCACCTGATTTTAAATTCAATGCAGCAACCACATTTTCTTCTGTAGACACAAACACTTTTTTCACAGACGATACAGTGTCAAATTCAGCAAATTTCACATGACCCACATACATTTGTCTCCTATTAGAAAATCACAGAAGTAAGTCTTCATTAGCGTCAAACATCACATATACTTCATAATCCTCCAGCATTTGGTTTAAACATGCAAAATTAATTCAGATTATGTAATAGGACTGGGGAGTTAATAAGATAATTGTTCATAAACTCTTGAAAATTCCTACACTTACTACTGCAAACAGACGTTCAGAACAAGAAAATGACTGTCATCGCTTACCAATCAAATTTTCCTATTTGATCTTCATACAATCCATAAGAGAGGTTAAGATGAATTAATAACAAGGCGAGACATACTATTGGTGACCTTAACCACATACGGCTTATACATCCGTTAAGTTCTTCGATAGTTTTCATATTTATGTCAATGTATTATTGTCAACAACTTTTGGAAAACATAAAATATTATTTTTCCAGCAATGTTTATCAACTACTAAGACAGTTCAAACGCCGCAATCAGCGAGCGCACTTGCAACCACTCGGCAGCAGCGTCAGCGGAAGCAGATGCAGAACACACTTGGCAACGCATTACCATCAGTTGGCAATAATGAAACTGTTGGTATTAGTTAAACAGAGTGGCGGGCAAGTTAAGAAGTTTTTGAGGGGTTAAATATCTGAAAGTAATTTAGCTTTTTGTTTCTTTTTAATAAGTTATTATTTGGAATTGAAAGAGAGTGAGTGTTTACGACTTTATTATTTGAATAGTTTATTTGCTTATTCTAAAGCCTAATTTCAGAATTTTGTGCAGTTATGCCGGTTCTTATAATTCAGTTTTCTATACTTTACCAGGCGTGCCAAGAAAAAACCAGGAGCCTGGAGTAGTTACTGAACGGGGGCCCCTCATTTCAAACAAAAATTGCCCTCCTCCCCACTTCATAAACAAAATTTATTTATCCGTGCTTCAGAAATAACTCGTAGCGTTAAACTTGGATTAGAGATAAATATATTTATTTTGAAAGAAACAAAATCACAGCCTCAGTTAAGTCGAGACCTGGGGCAAGTTGCCCCAGCTACCCCAAACCCCTCCAACTTCTGGTCGCCACTGTTCTTTACTAAAAGTTTATTCAGAGTAAGTGTTAATGTTTGCTACCACGTAACTACAGCATGTTTTAACTGGCGTTGTGTAGAGTATTCTTCGTTCTTCATTATATTACTAGATATTTACTTTCTCATGCTTAAGAAGGAACTTCTTAAGAAGTGAAAGTTATGCAGGCGCAGGTCTCATGTTCATTGAAAACTCTGATTTTTCGAAAACTGAAAAAATTCAAAATATTTTTCGTCGTGTTACTACAACTAAAATCTTAGATAGATATTTTTCCCTTAATAAAATCTGTTCCTTAAAGATAGATTTTGAAATAAGATTATGTACAATTTTTCAAAACTTTTACTCCTTTTTGCGTAATGTAGCGTGAAATATACGCAATTTGTATTTTTTGTTTAAACAATTTTTTCTCAAAAACGGCTCCATCGTTTTTTATGAAATTTTGTAGGTGGATAGTCTGAAGGACGTTTAAGAAAATGGCGAAGGTCTCATGATTGTTGACAACTCTTTTTCGACATTTGAAAAAATTCAAAATTTTTTCGGCGTCGTCCCGAAACCACAATTATGAAGATACAATTGTTTTCTTAATGAAATGTGTATGTCAGAAACAGATTTTCAAATACAGTCATGTTGGATTTTTCGAAAATACGAAGGTTTTATTTTAGTAGTTGGGCGTCAAAATTAGTCGCCCGCTCTTAAAATCCTTCGCTTCTTAATCACAATTTTTAGTGTTTTAAGGCAGTTGGTAGCTACGGAAGTCAAACTGTGTATTATTATTATTATTATTATTATTATTATTATTTTGTTTATGTTTCTTTGTTAGTTTATTACATGGGAGCTTTTGTCATACGTTTACAAATTAATCTTGTAGAAATTATTTAAAACCTATTTGAAATAAATATGAAATAAAGATTGCTAATCTTCAGTCGCTCGCTCCCAATTTACGCAAATGAATGCTACGTAAGGTATAATTTATATATTATTTCAAATTTAATTTTTATATTATTTATATTATATTTATGTTACTTTATTTTAAATTGCATCCTATAATTGTGTTAAATGTGAAAACTATTTCAGATGAGCAGTCATTGTTGGTTGTAACAACAACCAACAATGACCGCTCATCTATTCGTGAACAATGGACAACAGTCCACTGTGGTAACGCTACACAAATAACACGATAATGACGGCTGCTTTTAGTTCGCGGAAATAAAAACGAATACTTTTATATATTTGTAGAACATTACCATACCATAGTATTTAATAATTTCTGTTATATAATTGTCGATCAATTTGTTTGCCAACGCAATCAGAATTGTATTATTTATTAACTTTTAAATATTTTACTTTCTTGCATTCTGCTTATTTTTCGCACTAAATGTTCTACGATTTCAAATGAGTTTTACAAAAATAATTCGGCGAGAAATTGTGATGTAAAAAGTATTACATAACCATTACTAATGGCGAGAAAGTTCGTTTTGTTTTAGGACCACTAGTTACTTTTTATTAAGGGGTATAGCAGCCATAGTTGCTTATTTCATTTATTAATTTAACCCGTTCTTTCCAATTACGTTCTCTTTCAAATTTATATCAAATGTATGTATGTAGTTGGCATTTTAGGATCGAATTAATCTGATTTTTTCCAGCTAGCGGTGTCCCAAGGTCTGGGCATTGTTTTATTTATTATCCACACTTCGGTATCAGGGGTCCCCAAAACATAATTTCCGTTGAAATCTCGAAAACTATTTTTCGCAACATTACATAACTTCCTATAATCCTAAGTATATTTGTACGTATACGAGAAAGTAAAACTAGTACTGCTACAACAACATATACTTTCTCGCATTGTTTCTTTGCTGTGTTATCTATTACATAAACCTATAAAAGTGTATTATAGCAACATTTTTTCCGCCCCAAGACTCGAACTCGGGTATTCCTAGTGAACTCGCCGTGAGCTTTACCTCTAAGTATAGAAACGCTATGGTTTTAGAATTTGGGTCGACGTTAAAAATAGAATCATCTCAACCCAATATTTTCAACACGCAATTTTTGCTAGTTTCGAAAATATGAAATATTTATTATCCATGTATAGTGTTCAGGGATACGTGTGGTGAGCATGAGGAATTTCCTTCACCGTATCTAACATGCCCTGCCTGAATGGTATTTCTTTCCACGGAGCTATAGAAACGGCTACAATTGTAATGAAAAGCTACAACCCAATTTTTGCCCCGACTGGAATCAAATCCGTGATCGCACCAAGGAAAGCCAGCACGCTGAACATAAGACACTAGAGGGGGAGGGGCTATTTAGCTCTTAAATAGGTAATGTCTTTAATTTCTTCCTACCAATTTAGCAAAGTCTTGTAATGTAATACATTGGTTTCCAAGTGTTCTTACTTCTTTGGTTCATGGAAACACAGCCAGTGCCGGAGATACACAGTTTTGAAATCGCGGCAATGCTGAAAAGTAGACCCCTACCCCAAAAAAAATAAGTGTGAAAGCTGTGTCAAGAAACTATAAGAGTTATTTTATTGCAATAAATAAAAAAACAACGTTTCAGCCAGACAATAAATAATTTATTTGAAAATAAATAATTTTAGTTTTTTTGTTCTTTCCCTTCGCGAATCAGTTATCACAGGTCTACGCGACACGTGCATTCCACCGGGACTTAGTCATGCTTATCGGGGAGGTGGGAGGTATTCATGGGATTTTTGGAGCTATCCCAGCATTCGCCTTTTAACCAAGGGAAACCACGAAAAACCCCAGTCAAGATGGCTGACCTCGGGCTAGAACTCGGTCTTCCCGATTGCGAATCCAACGCACTATCCAACCTGAGCCTCTTCGCCCAGGTACATAATTATTATATCATTAAATAATAGTTTAATGTGAAGTATTTAGTGATCAAGTAATACAATTTCCAAAGACGACTTAAAACGCTAAAAAGTTGTTGTATTTAGTTACTGTTGATTAAAGTACTTGTTAAATACATAAAATAATTAATATAAATGTAGAAGAACCTATTTTAACATCATCGTCGTTTAATTAATTTACTTATAGGTAAGCTGCAGATTCATAGGCACGAAAAACAGTAGAAATTGGCAGGTAAAATAGGCTTGTAAAAATGTAAAACAAGCATTTAAAAGTGCAAAATAAGCATTTAAAAAGGCATTATATAGTTTTCTTATCCTTATTCTGAAGTAAACATGTTATAGTTACCTTCATGGAATGTTTGCTTTCATCATTGTTCTGAAAAATCCTCGTAGAAATTCTTTCTTTCATTGTTGGGCAATTCGGACAAAAACGGCTGAATTGCAGTAGCTGCCTTTTGCTTTTCATTAAATGCAAGAAATTACTCTAATGCCGCACAGTATGATGTTTTTTCTCACATTTAATTTGACGTTAAGTGAACATATTGCAATATATTTTTAATCTCCATAACACAAATGTTGTAACTGGTGGTGTAACAAGAGTACATCCTTTTTCGCATTATATCCAAAAACTTATTTCACAATTTGCAATGTTCCAAAATTCAGAATGTTCTACGAAAATGCGACCTGCGCCATTCTTTTGTGTCCCTTGTTGTATCTGTGGGGAAAAATGAAGAAATCATATGTAGAGGTAATTGAGAATTTTTTTACAATTTGCATGAAATTTAAGCCAGCCGGCGCTAGGCACTGGGCGAACGCACGGAGCCCCGCAAGTCCGATGATGGGTCTGAAGGAAAAAATAATTTAAAAACTTTAAAATGAAATTAGAACACAAGAACATAGCTATCGTAATTTTATGTCGTGGTACAGAAGTCTGATACTTCATAAAATTTTCAATTAATGGTTTAACTTAAATAGTTAATTATGGTCATTACTTATAAAGTAGGACTCTTTAAAATGAATCAAATGACGCCAATATTAAAATAGGTTCTACTCTATTTATTATTTCATGTCTTTAACAACAAGTGATTTTATTAAACACTAACTAAAGACAACAATTATTACTTTCTCGCGCTCAAGAAGGAACTTCTTAAAAAGAGAAAGTTGTGCGAAAAAAAACAAAAAAACACGGCGAATTTTCGGCAGAAAAACTCTTGTTATAGTGCCCTGGTAAAGTATAAGTGGATAAATACAGTTGCTAAATGTAGAAGAAAAATCCTCTAACACTGGGGTAACCAGAATTCATGTTTTCTGGGTCCTTGGTACTGAAAAATCGATTGACGGCAAAACGTCTGTCTGTCCGTCTGTGAACCACCTAGCGGCTAAACCGTTCGGCTGTTTTTCCCCAAACTTGATATTCCCCTGTCGATCTGGTTGATGTGACGGTCCCTTGAATTTGAAATCGATTAGTTAATTTTGGGGTTGTACTTCACATGAAGCCCCTAGGACATTAAAAACAATTAAGCCATCGATTTTGATTAAATGTGTTTGAATAGTCCGATAAACGTTTAAGGGAATGGTGAAGGACTCATTTTCGTTAAATTCTGATTTTTCGTAAACTACAAAATTGAATTTTTTTCGGCGTCTTCCTATATCTAAATGTTAAAGGTAGAGGTTTTTTCATAATAAAATCTGTTCCTTAAAAATATATTTTAAAATAAGATAATGTACAATTTTTCGAGACTTTGAGTATTTTTCGGGTAATTTTGAGTAAAATATGAGCAATATTTATGTTTAAACAATTTTTTCTTGAAAATGGCTCCATCGTTTTTGATGAAATTTTGTTGTTGGATAGTCTGAATGACGTTTAAGAAAATGGTGTTGGTCATGTTGGTTGAAAACTCTTATTATTAGCAAATTGAAAATTTTAAAATTTGTTCGGCGTCTTGCTACAACTACACTTGGGAAGATATAATTTTTACTTTCTTGCGCTTACTAACGTAAGAGAAAGTCGTGTGCCGAAAAACGTATTTTCGACACAAAATCTCTTATGGGGCCGTGTCCTGGTATGCAAAAAGTGGATAAATCCAGTTGCTAAATATAGAAAAAAAATCCTCTAACACGTGGTGTAGCCAGAATCCATGTTTTGTGGGTCCTTGATACCGAAAATTCGATTGACGGCAATACGTCTGCCTGTCTGTCTGTGCAGAATGCTAACGCATAAACCGTTCAGTCGATTTTCTCCAAAATTGATATTCCCCAATCGTTTTAGCTCATTTCACGGACTCTGGGATTCGAAACAGATATTTTAATTTTTGGGGGTACTTTAAATGAAGTCCCTGGGGCATTTCAAAATTTTCAAAATAGTGTCTCCAATTTTTTTATTAAGTTGTGTTATTGAATAGTGCAAAGGACGTTTCCGAGAATTGTGCAGGTATCATTTTTATTGACATCCCCAATTTTTCGAAAATTGGAAAAACTTAATTTTAAAATTGGAGATAGAGATATTTGTCTCAGGCAAAGTCTTTGGAACAAAATTAGCTCTTTAAAAAAGGTAATATAAATTTTTCCGAAGAAAAAAAGTTCTCAAAAACCGTTGCAATTTTTTATTTTAATATTCTCTACATATTTAATCAGAAACAGAAAGAAGTATGGCGCTAGTCTCATTCTCGGTTTTTGCTTTTTTTTCGAAAATTGTAAAAAGCATTTCAAAACTACAAAATTGAAGATAGATATTTTCGTCTCTGCCAAAGTCTGTTGTACAACATAAGCTCTTTAAAAAAGATCATGTACAATTTTCTGAAAAAATGAGTAGTTTTTGCTTGAAATTAACAAAATATATACATGTTTCTCACCATCTATGGGCAACGAGAAACATTGACTGCATGATATGAAAATAATGAATTTAATTTTAATTATAATTTACTATTTAATATGTCAACATTAATTCTATTTTTAAACTAGCAGTTTTACTTTTTACTCAATTTGTATGGCGTTATATCAATTATTTAATATAAAATTGACTATATAACTAACCGACGAGGAAGAGAAAGGAAGTCGAAAGGGACGGACGCACAGAGAAGCCATTTGAATAGCCGTGTCGAATCGCGAAGAGGCGACCGAGTGCCGACATATTCATTGCACCGCTGGCTAGCATGCATAACCCCGCACGTGCGTAGCGCGAGAGCCCTGCGCCCCCCCCCCCATTACACACACACACACACACACACACGCACGCACGCACGCACGCACACACACACACACACACACACACACACACACACAGTATCTCCCCCTGCAACTTCATTATGGCTCGGAAGAAGGCAGACGAACCACTCGCAGTAATCCGTAGGACAGCCGTGAATTCGGCGCGATGGTATATGGTTAGCGTATCGGACTGTTATACCAAAGTTGGCGGGTTCAAACCTGATCGATGCCGTGGATTTTTAAGGGCAAAAAAATCCTTCATACTCCTTCCTTCGAAGGGGAAGTAAAGCCGGCTGTCCCGTGTTCAAATGAGCAAAATTCAAATTGCCTGTTCGTCGCCCAAGAAATACATCCTTTCTCCGCTACTTGGTAGAAAGAGCATAGCGAATTATGCGTGGTCAGACGGAAGAGCGGGCCTGATGGCCCGCCACGTAAAATAAGGCTTTAATTCAATTCAATAAAGAGGTTAGCGCGCGAGCTCGATCGGGTGTCGTAAACACTTCGGAATTGAAATGGCGGCGTGGCAATCGGGTACGTGCGCGTGTCCGCGCGAGGGAGACGGGGGTGCTCAGTACTGTGACCTAACTTCCTGAGGCACAATCCAAAATCTAGTAAAAATATAAGGAAATGGAAAGGAACAAACTATTGGAGCAGGAGGAGAGAGGGCAGAGTCTTAGTGGGTCTAGGAGGAAGGGATAGTTTAAACTGATGGCGTTTGGCAGGGAGGCAAATGGAGAGAAGAAATTGAGACATGGAGAGCAGGAGAGGAGCACAGGAGAGTGAACATGACGCGAAAGGACAGAGGAGATTCCGAGGTCAACAAGAGAGGTCGCGGGCACATGAGGTTTGAACGTTAACGAGAACGGATATACGAGCCAGGAGGAAAAACCGCGAAAACGTTAAGTTCGCAGTCATAAACATTGGCCATGAAATGAAGATATTCCATAGCAGAACTTATTACTCTCGCACCGTTGTGAGCTCGTGGCGGAATCTCAAAATGCTAATCAGTTACCGAAAGGTAGTCATCGTCACGCGCGTTGCAATTTGCGTATGTTGGAAGGACGGAATTGCGGTGGAATAGAATCGCACACATCAGAACCGAGAGGCGAGCGTTCCCCGGGACCTGGGCGCCTTCATAATTGGCCGAGCTGAGAGGGACGCACGCTGCGCTGCTATAAAGTCCGTTTTGCCGACCCTCTAAGGTGTGAGGTCAGCGCTCCCGGGTACCCGTGGAGTCAAGTGAGGCAACAACGGATGTTATGGTATGTGACTAAAGTCCTTATTCAGATCATAACAAGATAGAGAAGGAAGATCGGTTGGGCATTAAATGTAGTAGCTTGCTAGCAGTAGCAGTAGTAGTATGAAAATTGTAGAATTTTTGAGAATCTTTATGTGACATTAGCTAAATCAGTGTGCTAATAAATACAATATCGTGAACAAATTGACGCTAGTGTAAATAAAAACGATGTACGAGACAAGTCAAAAAAATTACATATTTGTAATTTTTGAAAAGCCAAAGAATAGAGCAATATGGCGTATATGTCATCCTATAGATGTGTGTATTATGTATTTAGAACTCCCCTTAAAAAAGTGTGTAAAGAAAAAATTTGTAGTTTCTGAGAAAATCTTGTTTTGTATGTTTTTTAAATTGTACATATTACACGCAATGATGCGCGGAAACTACTAGAATTTTCAAAAGAAAAAAAAGTGTACATCAACTTCATGAATAAACTCACTATGGAGAACAAATTTTATTTGAAGGAAAATCTCTATCTTTAATTTTGTAGTTGAAGAAAGAGGCCGAAAAATATTCAAACTTTGGTAATTTCCGAAAATTCAGAGTCTACCGTGATAATCGGACCTATGTCTCATTTATAAGCGTATATTTCTCTATGCTTACAAGAAATAAAAAAAAAAAAAAGTCCGGGGTTTTCATGTAAAGTACTCCCAAATTTTAAAGGAAGTTTTTTCAAAATCTCAAAGCCATGGACTCGGGCCAGGTGGTCAGGGTTTCTTCAATTATGAAAAAATCCTATGCATGATTTAGGCGCTAATAGTGTTCACCTACAGGCAGACGGTCGGACGTTTTGCTGTCTCCCTGACGTTTCCGTAATCTAGCAACTGAATTTACTTTATCGTTATCAGGGCCCGACAATAATTTTTTTTTCTGCCGGAAATTCAGGCGATTTTTTTCTTCTCCCCCCCCCCGCCCCCCGCAGCATTACATTACTTTTTCTCGTGTTCGAGTAAGTAAAAACAGATCTTCAAATAAGGTCATGTTGAATGTTTTGAAAATATGAGTATTTTTTGTGTATTTTCGTGATAAACTTAATAGCCTTATAATGACCTAAGCCTTATAATAAAGCCTTAATAGCTTTACTAATAACCTAGTTCATAAAAATTATGAACACAAAGATTATAGGAAGTTTCTACATTTATTACTTCTGTTTAAGTTTTTAAAATTATAATACGTCCTCTAGTTTGCTTGTGCTTAGGAGCTTAGGGCCCACGAAGGGCCCTTAGGGCTCAAGACTCACGAAGACATAAATTCGGCCCTGTCATGAGTTTATGCTAATGGGTTTAGTAATAGGTGAATAATTTTAATGTGCCAAAGGGACGTGTTATTTTGCTTCCAGTTGAAAGTGAAAGTAGACACGAGAGAAAACCGTTTGCCCCCAATTGTGTCCTGCCCCGCCTTGACTTTCGCTACGTCAGTGCCAAGGTGAGCTGCCGTAGCTGTTGGCCACCTGGAAGGATTGCTGTCAGCGACAAGCAGTCACTAATATAAACAGGTATTATAATATTCAAGTTATTATCTTACACGCGGTAATAATGTGCCCCTCACTTAACTTTACATTTCAATGGTTTTGAAATGTATTATTTTGAAGTACCCTCATGCGTATGGTCTTTTTTTAATTAAAATCAAGTTTCTGTTGAATCCAATACTTTCTGTCCTTTCCATCCATCCTTTCTGTTGAATCACAATACTTGCAATCTTCGGAATTGGAGTCGCTGCTGACGTTGACGTCGGTGCACAAGGCTTTAGACAAAATGAATGTATTTGGGTTAGCAAAGAAATTAGTTTTAGAAAACAGTCAAATTATAATAGTAACTGTTATATAAAATTCGTCTATAAGACAGCTGGTACAAGCTCGCTGGACCGCGTACACCATGGAAACGGTTTGAGATATTGGAATGCGATTTGATCCAATGTCATAGATGACGAGGGAGATATATCATTTTTTTGTTTTTAACATTTGTAATTTTGGAGATATTGCCACAACCTTGAATTTTTTAATGGATATAAGTATTTTTTTTCCACCAGTAATAAATGAATCATACATGGTAGTAATTGTAACCACTACACTCTCTGTGCAGGGAACCCACTATGTCTGTTTTCAACAGCCTCTGAAGTGCATAGTGTGGCTTTTATTTCACATGCATTGGTGCATCATTAGCCTATGCATACCATTCGCCTGGATGGCATTCATAACAATTTAATGTACTGTTAATATTAATTTGAGTTCACTTTTTAAAGCAGGAATAATAACAAACTCAGTTGAGTTATTATTTCTACTTTAAAAAATTCAACTGAATTGAACATTAACACTGTATTAAATGATAGTGAATGCCATCAAGAGAAATAATTTGAAAATTGAATGAACATTCCTGAAATTAAATTCATACATATTTGCTAGATGTTAATAACTTATCAAAGCTTTAATGTCTTTTTTGCAGAATTTGGAAGAAATAACTTAGGTTATAAAATGACCTCTCTTCGTTTGTATTCCCTTTCGGACAGTCCTCCTGCATGTGCTGTTCGTCTTTGCCTTGAATGTTTGGGCCTCAATTACACTACTGTTGATGTCGACTATGTAAATGGAGAGCATTTGTCTGAAGAGTATGCACTTGTAAGTGATTACTTTCCTGAATATATTTAACTTTTACATATTTCTTGAATTAAATACTGTATTGTTATATCTTGCCAGAAAAATCCTCAGAAAGAAATACCTGTACTAGATGATAATGGATTTCTTCTCAGTGAGAGGTAATTATTTGTTATACATAAAAGTGGAAATTAAACTGTTTGACACATTAAAACAATTCTTTATTTTAAAATAAATTTTCTTTTAGTGCTGCAATTCTTCAGTATCTCAGTGAAAAATATGATACTCAAGGAAAACTGTACCCAAAAGATGTACAACAGAGGGCTATTGTAAATCATCGCTTGGCATTCAATCTTTCATCATATTATCAAAGAATACTGGAGTATGCTGTAAGAAGACTTTGTATAATTTCATGTTCATAAACCTTCCAAATTATTTTAAATAATGATTAATTATCGAAATAATTGTTGTTTCAGATTGCTCCAATCTTTTTTGATTATCCTAAAACCACAACTGGTTTAAAGAAAATGAAAGAAAGTCTTTCAGTATTCAACACAATTTTACAAAGGCAAGGAGCAAAATTTTCTGCAGGAGGTAAATGACAATTAGTTTATATAATAAATTAATGGAAATATTTTATAATATTGTTATAAATATTAAAGCGCAGACAAATAATGAATAATCTTGATGACAAATTCATATTAGTTTTTAATAAACAGATAATGAGTGTAAGTGAGAGGAGAAAGGAACTAAATTAGCAGAAATTTTAATATTACTCAGTTTTCCCTATAGACGTTCACACAATAATCTACAACATGGAGATGTCAAAAAAACACTTGCGATTAAGTTTTAATTTTAGTGTATGTAGTTAATGGCTTCATTAAATAAGTACAATTTAATACAGATTAAAAATGTAACTGAACGGAATCTGTTCTGGTACGTTTTCTGTATGTCAGTCACAGAGCATATTCATAATGTTCATGAATTGCTAAGTTAAAATAAATTACCTTATATGAAAAAGCATTATTCTTTTCACTAGAAAACAATAGATGCTAAATAGGTATTACCAATATAAATTACATTAGGTATGTATGTGCTGCACTGCCAAGTTCATTTCAGCAATCAAAATTGTGGTGTTTATGAAGCAAACCTGCCTTCTTTCAGAAAAACTCACAAAGTGTTGTTGTTAAATAAATAAATAAGTTAAATAATTTTTTTTTCTCCATGGAAACAAACTGTAGATTTGAGAAGAATGAAGCAATATTTACACAAGAATGTACACTTCTGCATTCAGTTTTATGTGATTGAACGTGTAAAGAAATGCTGACAGTGAACATCAGCTGTGAAATAATTAAATTAAATAACTAAAAGGTCTAAAATGTCGTTATTGTGTGTTGTGCAAAGAAATAATAAACATTTAAAGATTTTTGGGATTAAATTAAATGTATTTTTCATAACGTGGTATCCATCTCATATTAACGACAATCAAAATAACTTTTATTTTATTGTACTGGTGACACATGTTTATTACCTTGTCTATAAACCTCAATGTTCTTTATGAAAAATATTAAATTAGAAGACAATCATTTTTGGTTATGATTGGTTATACAAAAAATATAAATTAAATGTAGTTTCATTTGCATTCTTTCTAAAAATAAAATTAATTTAAAAACATATATTTAATATTTCTTATCTAATATAATTTCTTAATCATTTTTTTTTTTTCTTCAGATTCTTTGACAATTGCTGATTTTGCTTTAGTTGCTGCAACTATGTGCTTGGAAGCTGTGGAATTTGACCTGAGTAACTATCCCAATATTGTACAATGGTACAATAATTTCAAAAGAGAGTACCCTAAGTTATGGGCAATTTCTGAAAAAGCAATGTTAGAATTACATGAATTTTATAAAAATCCTCCAAATTTATCAGAAATGAAACATCCGTATCATCCAGTTCGCAAACAATAACAAGAAAGTTCTGAAGGTGATACACTTAATATGCTATATAATAAACATAAAACTGTGTTGTAACAGCCAATAAAGGACATTAGGTTTATACGAATCATTTATGTGAATACCTTTTAACTATAAGCACTTCTAACTCCTGGATGCATTTTCTGATTATCTAGTTCTTGCTTGCATATGTTTTTATTAATATAAAGTATAAAGAGAAGTACTTTCATAATTTTGATGGTTATACTCCAATTCAAATTTGAATGGTACGTACATATTAGAATTGTTCAGAGAAAAGATTAAACAATGCAAAATTAAAGAGTATATTGCTCTACTTACTTTTTAAAAAAAAAGAAAATCAACAATACACATAATGCCAAATAATAGAAAAGTACAATATTATTTCAATCAGAAGAAAGACAATACAAAAGGAAGTAAACAACATCTCTGATCATGAACAAGTTTGTTAGCATTGCATTGCTGCCTCCTTAGAAGGGTTTATCAGTTGCAGGTTTTACTTGCAAGTTGTTTAACTCGGAGCTCTAAGGCATATGGCTGAATAGTACTTCCTGAATGCCAATTGACTAAATCAATGAAAAACAATTATTATTTTTTAACTTTCAATTCCTTTAGAGTTTCTTAGCTACTACTCAAGTCTTCTGTAGTTTTTTACACTTCTGTAGTTACAGTAGAAACTACTGTAAAAATGAAGTATCAGAATCCCACCATTATGATGTAGAAGATAAATTTAACATAAACTTTTTACTTTGGAGGCAACCAACAAAATATGTAAAGCCCAAAAATCAAAGCCCTATGTATCACAATTTTTTCCAAGGATCATCTCAATTCTCAACCTGTTAGACATTTTTAAACACGGATACAATTTTTTACTTTCTCATATATGTACGTATGTAGGGATTAATATATGTAATTTAGAGAAAGTTATGTAATGCTGGAGAAAAATCGACATCGGAATTTCAATGGAAATACACATTTTGGGGTCCTGGAACCAAAAACGTGTGTGTTAAAAAAGAAAATTTTAGCCGTCCGTCTGTTAAGAAAGCTATCAGCTTAACTAGGTGTAGATTTTGTCCAAACTGAAAAAAACACAACTGTTGATTTGGCTCAATTCAAAGCTCTAAGATTTTGAAAAATATTCATTGGAAATTTTAAAGTTCTTTGGAAATTTTCTCAAATATGCCCCCAAATTGTTTCTTTAAAATTCTTGTAAGAATAGAGTGATATACACTTATAAAGGTGGCATTTGGGTCATCAATTTATCTCAAAACTCGACTGTTTAAAAATTTGAAAAAAATACCATTGAAATTTCTGAAAAGTTTTATATAAGACTGGTAAGTTACAAAGTGGGACACTGAGTTCTGATAAAGTAAATACATTAGAAATGTCTACTTGCTGTTTTGCTCCAGTGTCTGCAAGAGCATTACCCCTCACTTATGAGCCAATCAGCATTTGACAGATTACCATTAATATACTTTCAAAGAGCAATAAAATGAAATATCCTTTCACATCTGATTATGTGCCGCATGAAAAATTAAGTAGTTCCCACACAATAGTGTGTGCTATTTTAAAAGATTACAAAAACAAGATTTTCTCAAAAATTGCTTTAATTTTTTTTTTTTTAAACTTGTGGTAGGGATTGTGCTAAATGCACTCTATGAAGTGACTTAAACGCCATATTGCTCTATTCCAATTGCAATTTCAGAAAAGCTCAAACACAGCTCAAAATTTGTTCTTCAAACTTGTCAAAAGAACAGTCCTAAGTGCAGTCTTTAATATGACGTAAAGTTTTTTTTTTTTAATTATACAAATGTATTTTTTTTAAAGATCCCTCCCGCCATTAATATGTACATTCTCAACTATTTGTAAACACTATTGTATTTGTGAGTTAAAGTATTTCAAAGTAATACAAATGAAGTTTTTCGAAAACTCTAAAATATTTTGAGAAAAACAGCTTAAAATCTCCAATTTACAGTAGCGCTTAAGCGCCAGTTTTTTTTTTACATGACTCCAAATTTTTCAAAGGAAATTGCAATTTAGGACGGGGTTTTACAGTTCTTTAATAATCTTCGAATAATATTTACGCTCTACAATTAGGAAACCAAAAAATTAAGAAAATATAAAAAAAATGCACTTCGGGCGGCGATAGATGGGAGGTGTCCAGAGTATAATTTATATGTGACAAGTCCGAGTAGATAGTCGACACCAAAAGAAATAAAAAATTAATACGGGAAAGTCTGTGCAACTCTAAAGCCCCACTTTCCCGTATACGTACGTAGAATAGGGAAAGTTATATAAAGCTATGAAAAATCGATTTCGAGATTTCAACGGAAATCAACTCTTAGGGTCCCCTGAATACTGAAAAAGTTTTTTTTTTTTTTTTTTTTTTTTTTTTTTTTTTTTTTTTTTTTTTTTTTTTTTTTTTGGGGTCTATCTGTCCGTCCGTTTAGTGCATGTGAACACTAGCGCCAAAACCATGCGAAGGATTTTTTTCCAAATGGAAGAAACCTGTCCATTTGTTCTGAGTCGAAGCTCTTCGATTTTGAAAATCACTCATTAGGTGTAGGGATTAGGGGATAAGGATAAGGGATTGTGCTAAATGCACCGTGGAAGATAACTTAACGCCTACACGAGAAAGTAACTAGTGGTGCTACAGAATGGTACAGACTTTTCCACATTCGTTTTCTACTTCCTTTGGTCTTGGCTAGTTACGCGGACTTGCCACCAGAGAGTATATTGCCACAGACTCTTGCCAGCTGACATCTATTGACAGCTCAAAGTACATGTATTATATTTATACTTATACTGCTTATAATTTAATGTCGTACTTATTCGACAAGAACGATCTTTATGCTCCACTACTGAACCACGATAACACTTCCAGAAGAAAGAACTCAAAAATGAGCGAAGTGATTGATTTTCATGACACGGACCATTAGAGGCATATCCACGTAATTTCCTTGATACAACAGATATTACTCGCGCAACTTTTCTTGAACGATGGATTGAAGAAATGCGGGTAGAGTGGGGGTATTAGTTACGGAATCGGACACTAGATTTTATGAAGCAATGTCAATCTCTGGAGATGCCTTCGCAACGTTCTCAACAATGTGTTCTAACTTTTTTAAGGAGTTAGAGGTATCTCCTGTGATAGATCTTCACCTTCTTCGGTCATTTCTTTAGGTTTTTGGAGAAAATAACGGATAGATGTTCTCGTTTTTAAAAGAAAATTGTTTCAATTTTGCGCCAGTGAAGATGTGTTTGGATTGTTGCCATCAGTGCTCGCTGCGAGCTTTCACCTTCATCTGTTTATTGAACCAGAGAGGGGGAGGCAAAGTCATAGTTCAAGAAAAGTTGCGCGAGTAATACCATCGAGGACATTACACCGTGAATCGTTTCCTTTTAGGCCGACAGAGTGTGTGCACTTCGTGCATTCCAAATATAGACATGGAGGAATTATATATTCCTCCATGATACAGGTTTGTAACAAATTCGCCTTAGATAAAATGCCAAACAAATATGTACTGTGAGAAGAGAAATGTGAACAAATTAGAAATTTTCTAAAATGTAAGCGGACCGTAAAATTGCGGATGTGTCCGCACAAATGCGGACGCATGGTAAGCCTACTATGGGTCCATTGCTCAGCTCTAAAGCCCGCTATACACGGTCATTTTTGCATCATTTCTTCATCATTTTTCTGTACAGAAAGTGGATGGAAAAAGGATGTGCGTTTGTTTCGGTACCGAAACTGGATGAACGTGATTCCGATGTTTTAAACGATCATTTCTGCCCTGTATGCAATCGTGATGAAAATACTTCCTCCACACGCCGCAAAAAGCGCTGGAAGTTAAACAGTTGAACATCGCACGTACGTAAACAATTGCAATACGCGGGAAGAATGATGAGATTCGCAGTGAAGGTGGTAGATAGTCGTGTGAAGTATTGTGATTTTTGAGTTGGAAATGGAAAGGAAAGCAGTGACACTCAACCTCACGAAATCACAACCAAAACAGCACAAAATGCTCTAACGTTCGAACAACTCTCCAGGGCACGGAATCGAAGAAAGTTCCATAGAGTAACACCAGGAGCGCCATAGTCAAACTGGATGCAATTTGTACGGAAAAATGAAGCATGCTTCATTTTTACGTACAAATTGCATCCAGTCTGGTCAGTAACTTGTCTGTACCGACGAGAAATGATGCAAAAATGACCGTGTAAAGCGGGCTTAAGGACGGGGAATGGAAACAGGATAGGTGTGAAAGATCACACTCGGCCTATGATCCGTATATTAGGGTGTTACTTCAGCATTCACCTGGAAGCGATCAGGAAAACCACTGATCAGAGCAGTGGTGGATACGGGGCGGGGGCATGGAGACCATATGTAATTATTTATAAAATAATTTTGTATAGTAGCATATATACTTTACAAAATTAATAACAAATATGTTTTTTAATAATAAAGATAGATAATAAGATTTTAATAATAATCTAGGATGCTCTGCTCTCCCAAATTATTGACTGGATTGCCCCTGGATCAAAGCAGTCGGTCTATGAATTCTATTACGGCAGGACCCACAAATCCACCGATGCTAAGCACTGCAGGCAAGTTTCTGGCAACTGGCGGGGATCGAACCCGCCACTCCCCAATCACAGAGATGCTCAACCCGACAGACGTTGCTTTACCGCTTGCCACTCCCGTCGTTGCGTGGGGCAACTCAATTAATCTTTTATAAGTTTACCACAAAATGAGTGACTTTGAGGTTGAAGGACGTGCAATGTGCATCTCCAGGAGTCAGAGCCTATGCAATATTTCTTATTTTCACGAAAAAGGGAGCACTAGAACTTACGAGTCAATAAGTACGTAATTAATAAATAGAACAATGCGGAGAGCATCAAGCTGTGCCTGACTGACTTATGTACGCCCTAGGCTGTCAAACGTTTTAGCACTTTTTTTTACAATTTCCTTTCTTAACATTAAAGTTATTTAAAATATTTTTAATAAAAAAATCGTTGTACGATATTTTTAACCGATACCAATATTGCGTACGCATAAATAATTCTCATCGCGATTTTTATTTTATACATATACCATAGTGTGTATATATATATATATATATATATATATATATATATATATATATATATGATTAACACTATGTTAGAAATAGGAAAATAAATAGATCCATAAAAAACATTCAAAAGTTCGCCTAACGAAATTTTGCATCTGCTGAAACTCGTCCGCCCCCAAAAATTGAACGCCCCAGGCTGTAGCCTATTCAGCCTGTTCCGGCACTGGCATTAAGAAATAAAACTAGTAATAAATCAATTAAATTTGTAAAACCAAAGGCTATACCATGTGAATAGCGCGGATGCAAAACCTCGAATACAAAAGCAGTGAGATGATCAAGATGTTCATGCGACCTTAAATAAAAATATATACGTTTATTTTATATATATATATATATAATAATAAAATAAAAAGACAGTCAGAAATTAAAATCCTCCAGTCAGAAGGACGGATATAACTAAGACAGGCCATGTATGAGATGATGTAATAAGAGAACAGTTGGGAATATTCAGGGTAATGAAAAGATCTCCGAGTAGCAAACAGCCACAACGTATAGGCCTCCTGACGGACCAAAATAGGTTCCCCCCTTAAGTCATGGTTTGGATCGTTTCAACTACTAGTGCTACGACAGCACATACCATGTATTATTTATAACAGTTATGTAATATTATAATACTTGCTGGACTCGTGCTAAGATTTCGCAGATTTGACCTCGATTGCATATGTTTTCGCGGTCTGCGGTTTTCGCGGGTTACTTCACTAGGCGATCGCTTTACTGATTCAACTCATGCCTCTGTGATCACAATCTGCAAAACGTTTTGTCCTATCTGAGATTTGAGCTTAATTTTTTTTTCAAATTTTTTAGTGTTTCTACAATTTTCCTGCAATATTTTCCCATTTTATTTTTTTCTCTAGACCTTGGACCATGCCCTCTCCATGGACCCGCCACTGATGGAACAGATTGGTGTTTCCGAGCGCATCAATTTCTAAGGTCACTAGTCCTGTAAGTACAGTGCATGTGTTATCCGGGAGGTTGCGGTGATCTTCCTCTGTTAGATGTCAGATCCAGTGCCGACCTATAGGTCAGGTGGGGTTTCCCCTACCAGGTATCTCCCAACAATGTGGCACCGCCCCAGCCGGGACAAACTCTAAGTGACCGGACTCCAGACATGTGTAGTAGTGCCAGGGCCGGATCCAAGGGCAGGCAAGGTGGGCGAGGGCCCGTGACCAAATACAAAACTTTGGGGAATATTGTCGCTTTTAACAAAAGTCATATCATGTAAATCAAATGTATATACTTTTGTCACTTTAATAACACATTTGAATTCAAGCATTAAAATTGTATTTATTACACGATTGTGATATTTTTATACTTTTATTTGGTTTTAATTTTATATATTTTTTATCTTCAAATAGCCTATTTTTTCCATGACACATAATAATAATGCATCAATACAAAAATCAGTATAGGACGCATTCCCTAAAATGGAAATCATTTTGAAAATATATCTTACTTTGATGTTAACTCTAATTGTACTTATGAAAGACCGTTTCAAAATTAAAAACAGTCAAAAACAGATTGTCACTGACTTGACAACATCTCAAAGATCTTGTTATTTTAAGAGGCAATAACGATATAATGGGAGAAATGAGTTTTGACAATGTGATTGGCTATTTTGTGGCAAAAAAGTGCCTCTTTAACATATTTAAAGGCATATTTTACATGGTTACCGAAAATTAATAAATATAAATAGTTTTATAACATTTTTTGTCTTCTTTTAGAGATTCACGCACCAAATTTTTGCCCAGGGGTTCTCACTAACAGTAAATCCGTCAATGGATAGTGTAGTACCTATCAGTGGAAGTGTGTGAAGTCAGGGATGAGGACTGGACAAGGAAGAGGAAGGAAAGATCGCACACTGTCCATGGCCCATTTGTTAGGTAAAGCTCCAGCATTCACCTGGTATTGATCAGAGAAACCACGGAAAACTTACGATCAGAGCAGCCGGCCGGTAGAATTCTCCTCCAGATAACAACTGAATTCGACCTAGCTGTCTAACTAGTGTCAAAAATCCTGCCACCGCCTCGACTCGAAACCTATGACCTCCAGGTCAGGCGTACTTTAGTGACATCGATATTGAATATCGATACCCTGCACTCAAGAGAAGAAAAACCGGATGTTTCATTTGGCAATCATATCCAAGCCACATCACATCATTGCCATTCATTCCAAGTACACATCACGTTTAGTATTTTACTGAACTGCGTCCGGACAGCATGAAGATGAAGAAACCTGAATGTGCATAATTTGTACATTTAAAACAGTAACATTAATAATTGTTTAATCTGTTTTAAGAAATTTATATTGTTTACATTTTTTACCGTTTTTTCTTAGAACGGTATCCACCGATTGGGCTTGTCAAACATATTTTTGTAATGTTATAACTCCTTTACTCCACCAATATCCGACGCAACATTCGATGTTCTTATTTATCTCATCTTCAGAAAACAAAGCGTTTGGTAAAATAAGTAAAAATGTATCATTGTTTCAAAACGTCTGTCCGAATATGAAAACACTACCACCAAACCGCACACAGGATTTTCACCAGAATTGACATTCACCTATCGATCAGGCTCATGTTGCGGCCCCCCGAAATTGAAATTGATATTGTTATTGATATTTTATTCTTGTTTTTTTTCTCACTAAAATGACAGAAATCCATTTTCAATTAAACTTTTGAAAGTAAAAAAAAATGTATTTAACTCTGGAATTCCGTTTCGTTAGGAGTTTATTAAGAGATGGCTGAAATATTAGTATAGGTTAGAAGTTACAATAATGTAATATTACGTAACCTTTAATAATAAAATGAGGAAACATGTACTGTCACAGAATCTTTAATATAAAATATAGTCATCGACACCTCTAACTTTGGACATTTTTTTCGGGATATTTTAATACAATAACTGATACTGCGAGAAAAGATCGTGACCCTTCCGGGACAAAAATAAACATCCTGTTACCTTCAGCAAGGTAATACTCAAATTTCATCATTCAGAAGATAGTATAAACACTTCGGGCCAGAAGTCATTTTGAAGGCTATTTTCTCCCGTGTTCTAACTATAACAAGAGGGGTCGAGCGTGGGTTGTGGGAGGGAAGTCTATTTAAAGCAGCATCTCTGAAGGGAATCGCGCTTTCGGGGCACTCTCTTCGCGTCGTCCTTCCCGGTTGCCGGTCAAAACCTGTCAGGAGACATGCCGTTGCAAGTAACAGCCAGAGTTTCGGAAAGTGAGAGACATCTTGAGGATGTATACTCCGTTTTATTCCGCAATGGGAAACTATTCAGCAGCGCCGCAGACGGCAAAGTCAAGGTGAGAAACGCGTGCCCAATTCGCTTATTTTTACGGGAACAAACGTGAAATTTGTATTTGTTTGCGGGGGAGGGGATGTTAACCCACAGAAACTCATTAGTTGTGCCTAAAAGAGAAAACGATGAAATCGTAACACTTTCTTAAAAATGCACGGCGGTTGTTTGCATGCACATCCGCAATTGATAAACAATGTTTTTAATTTTCTTGATATATAATTTTAACAAAACAATTAATCTCCATATTGTGAGTTTTCGACATTTTTTCTTTACATTCTTCAGTTTGTCCGTCAAGTATATGCTTGCATTTCAATGAAGGCCTATAGTATCAGTCTGGCACAGTGTAGTTTTATCGAGAAGGAAGACAATATTAGGTAGAATTAAAATTTTTGGCAGCTTCCTACGGTCGACAACTCTAACCTTCACCTTGACTTGACCATGAACAGATTCTGACTTGACCGTGCCCAAGGCTGAGAGGAGGGCGAAAGTATTTCCATTCACCTTGAGAAGGGCTCTTCGTAACTAACCAAAGAGCTGTGAACTGAAAATTGTTTAAAAATATTAGGACACTAACATTCATACATGTGATTATTTTCATTTTGTTCAGTGCGCATAGAATATTTTAATACAGAATATTCATAATGCATTCTTCAAAGGTGCTCACGGCAAATTTTATGCTCTTCTTAAAACTAGTACTGCAACAACACTCTACCTTCTCGCTTTATTTATAAATTTATCAGGGCTCGGCAATTACGCTTTTTCCCACCGCTTTACAGCACTTTATACTGCGTAAGTATTTCAAAGTACTTTCTCACATTTTTACATTTGCAATTTTCAAAAATTCAGATTTCAACGAAAAGGAGATCTTCGCCATTCTTTTTAGTGTTTCTTCTTATATCCATGGAAAATAATTGAAGAAAAATTTGGAGCAGTTTTTGAGAAAATTATTTTTATTGGATTAATTTCAAGTCGCAAAAAGTACTCGTCTTTTTCAAATAATTGCCCATGACATTTTTAATAGAGCTGACTTTTAAAACATACTTTGTTTAAGGCAAAATTCTTATAATCTGCATCAATGATACTAATTCTTTTTGTTGAAAACCCCAATTTTTCGAAAATTACAAGACTTTTTTTCCGGCATCTTCTTTCAACTGCAACGTTGACTTAGATATTTTTTTCCAAAATGAAACGTGTTCTTTAATGACAGATCTTGAAATAAGACCTAGAAGAATTTTTGTAAATACGAGTAGTTTTCGCATAATTTGTCGTGAAAAATAGTTTTAAATTTTTTAAACGTTTTCTTTACTCAAAAAGCGACTCCAAACTTTTTCATTTATATTAAAGGACGGTACCCAACATGGTAGTAATCCCATTTTCGACTAACTCTATTTTCGAAATTTTAAACTTTTAAAAAATACAAAATTGAAAATAGAGGTCTTTGCTTAGAACAAAATCAGTTCTAAACATTAAATTTTTACAAAAGGTCATTTGCCCTTTTTTTAAAATAAACGAGTAGATTTGCGTAATTTGTCTTTGAAATTTGTGCACCTTAAAATTTTTTTTTTCTCAAAAACCGCTCCAAATTTTTTCATTAAATATTCTCCTCGTATGTATTGCAGGGCGATAAAAAATATGGCGCAAGTCTCATTTCCAGTAATCTCTCTGTATTTTCGAAAATTGCAAAAAGTTAACATTTCAAAACTACATAAAAGTTAACATTTCAAACAAAATAAAATCTTGAGTTTTTGCTTTAAACAAACTCAGGTAAAAAAAGGTCTTTAAAAATGATGGAGATATTTTTTGTAAAAACAAGTTCTAGTACATGTGATTCACAATATTTGAGAAATTATTTTTGTGATTTGTATTGCCCCGCGGCCTTACCACTGAAATAATACAATCTTTTTATTTCAGAAAAAAATTCTTGCAAAAATTCAATGAGATTCTTTTGAAATAGATGTACACCTGCACTGTAATGAGATAAATAATCTGATATTATTGACAAACAAAGGGAGATAAGTTATAATCATATATTTTCATTTGCTGTTTTGACACTTGAATATTTATCTTTCAATTAGCAAATTATTTCTTTTCCATCATTTTCTCATCAAGGTTAAAAATCTCATTTATCACTTCATTAACATCACTAGCTCGTCTTGTAGCTTATGACTTGTCCCATGAAATTTTCATTTTGAAACGGAGGAGTGACCAAAAGGAGTTCAAAATTTATTTAAACTACTAACGTTATTATTGATTGTCATGCAAATATTCATCACTTGAAGATTTGCTCAAATCCGTTTCTTTTTCAACAACAGGAAAGTTTATAGTAAGTGAGGAATCTATTTACGCATTTCCTTGGCCACCTTCCTATTCACGATTTGAGTGGAATGCTTTTGAAGTTCAAAAGGGTTGCAGCCACACCAAATATTCCATCTTTTTATTTTTTTATTTTTTATTTCAGCAGTTTAAATAACGCTTTTAACGTGCAATTTTTTTACTTTCTCGCGCTCAAAAAGGAATTTAAAACGGCGAATTTTCGGCGAAGAACCCCTTTATTATAGGGCCTTGGTAACGAAAAAGTGGATAAATCTAGTTTCTAAATTTAGAAAAAAAGTCCTCTAACACGTGGTGTAGCCAGAATCCTTGTTTTGTGAGTCCTTGTTACCGAAAAATCGATTGTCGGCAAAACGTCTGCCTGATTGTGAGCAACGCTAGCGGTTAAACCGTTCTGCCGATTTTTTCCAAAATTGATATCCCCAATTGATCTGGCTGATGTCGTGGCCCCTTGAATTCGAAATAGTCTGAAGGATGTTTAAGAGAATCGCGCAGGTCTCATGTTGGTTAAAAACCCTAATTTTTCGAAAATTGAAAAAAGTTTCTCTGCGTCTTCCTGCAACTACAATTATGAAGATAGAGTTTTTTCTTAATGAAATGTGTACATCAAAAACAGATTTTCAAATACGGTCAGACTAAACTTTTCGAAACGATGAGGGATTTTTAGTAATCGGGCGTCAAAATTAGTCGCCCGCCCTTAATATCCTGCGCTTCGAAATCATAATTTAGGTGTTTTGAGGCAGTTGGTTGCTACAGAAGCCAAGAGTTTGTATTTTTTCATATTTCTTTGTTCGTTTCTTACATTGGAGCTTTTGTTATAGGTTTACAAATTAATCTTTTAGAAATTATTTAAAACCTATTTGAAATAAATATGAAATAAAGATTGCTAACCTTCAGTCGCCCACTTCCAATTTACGCAGTTGGATGCTCCGTCAGTAGGAATTTATAGATTATTTCACATTTTATTTTAATATTATTTATATTACTTCATTTTAAATTTCGTCCTAGAATTGTGTTAAATGTGAAAACGAATAGATGAGTGGTCATTGTTACTCACAATTCTGCATAGATAACAATAGGCGATGTCATCTACTTCATTTGCGTTAATAAAAATGAATCCATTTATATATTTGTAGAATATTACAATACCAAAGTGTTTAATTACTATTATATATTTTTCGATCTGTTTTCGAACGCGATCAGTATCATATTATTTATTTACTTTTAATTATTTTATTTGTCGCATGCTGATTATTTTTCGCAGCAAAAGTTCTACGATTTCCATATTTCACGAAAAAATAATTCGGAGAGAAATTGTGGTATAAATAGTATTACATAACCATAACTAATGGCGAGAAAGTATGTGCTGTTTTAGCACCACTAGTTTTACTATTATAAACACACAGTTGGACCGCAATGAATACGACTTACTCGCCCATGGCCAGCGTTCGATTGAAGCAAACTCCCTAATGTAACAAAATTCGCAGGACAACATTCATACAGTGAGGAAAGTGTCATGAACAAAGACTTTAATTGCTGGTCGCCTCATCAGCCCTTCTTGAAATTCCCCCTTGTACCCGACCTTCAGTGATTCCAAATTCCCTGTCACTCACTCAAGCCTATGTGTTGGATAGAGCAACTCGAGTGCGAACGATTATGGCTCTTAAAGACAAACAACACCGGTATAAATTTAAGCATAAAAACTTAAAGTAGTTCCGCGATGAAATTTGAACCAAGAATAAATTGTTAGATGATCTTAAAAAATAATTTTATTTAAAGTAAGGATAGAAAAAGTCATTTTATTTAAAACATTGAATTTTTGATTATTCATATTTTTTTAAAGTAACATCAATATTTGCCAATATTATTAATAATAATTTTGATTAATTTACCTGCATTTCAATGTAAATATATTAACTTTAAATTGGTGCTTCGTTTATTTTAGTATGAATAAAAGTGTATTTATTATAAGATATTTTTGAAAGTCTTCTAGTGCAATACCTGAATATTTCTCTTATTGCGGTATCCAATCCTTTTAAGCTAGGAGTCTTAAAATTTGACATGTAACTACTTGTTATTATGTTAATCAAATATGAAAAACATTCAAGAACCTACCCTTCAAAATCCTAAAATTTAGCATGGAGTGACCTTACTGTATCATTTAAAGGAATTCATGTTCGTTTCATTTCTAAAAGTAAGAAATGACAACGCCTCTCGACAATGGAAATAAATGCAGCACGAGAGGCGATTCGTCGGAATTAATTTTTTCAAGTTATAACCGAGTTTTTAGTATGGCAGAAATTACAATATTTTAATATTTCGAAACTATTTTCAATCACGCGAGAAAAAATGTGCTGTTGTAGCACCTCTATTGTCACTAGTTGTAGAAGGATTAGGCTGTTATTAGAACCACTGTTCGACTACAAATTAAAAACTGTAGCCCGTTCAAATATGGTACCGGGAGAGGAGGCTCAGGGCATCAACTGACGTCATTGCATTGTCTCTGATCGAAAAGTCGTAGGTTCGAGTCCCGACGGTGGCAGGATTTTCGACACTAACTAGTTAGCTAGGGCAGTTCAGTCGATGTCTGGAGGAGAGGTCTAGCGGCCGGTTGCTCTGACCGGTAGTTTTCCGTGGGTTCTCCGATCAATATCAGGCGAATGCCGCAGCAGAACTCCAACAAACGGCCCACGGACCGATCGAGATTTTTCCTTCCTCACCCCTAACTAACACTACACTACCACATATTCTGGGAGACCGGTCAGGAGCTTAGACCCTGCTG